AGTCAGATATAAAAATAATTATAGTGTGTAGTTGCTAAGGAACAGAATTATGCAGTCTTATATTCAGCTTTTTCTGGAATATTCCTTTCACCTCTGTGTCTTATATGAAAACTGACTTTCCTGGATAACATGACATGATGAAGTTTATGGTACCTTCTTATTTTGACATGAATCTTCATAGAATGAAAATTGGTCAAGTTCAGTTTCAGAAATGGGTGAAGATTACTAGCACTGAGGATTCATATGTCAATTAACCATGTTCTTTCTTATTTACTATTAGTGAAGGAGAGGAAGGGGAGGAAAATTCCCATCTCTGGTGGAGGCTTCTTGTCCTCCTCAACTCCATAGTCAACCCAGTTTTACAGGAACAAGGGAAATGGTTGAAAAACATTCCACACGGAATGGTAAAAAACACATAATTGCCCATGCTGTCTTGTGTACTGGGTATGATATAGAAAGTGAAAGTTCTCCATAATCCACTTACATTTGGTATACATTCTTTGGAGCATGATATATCTATAATATATCTAATTTTTCTATACCTATTTCTGTATCTATAGTGACAATTTATTCTTGAAGAAAGCAGTGACTTTTGCTTTATTTCCTTTCAATTTTAAAGTATTTATATTTTAACATTGAGTAAGTTTTAATACACCTCCTTCCCCTCTTCACCATGCACCACCTGTCTTGTGTACTCCTCCCAGAAAATCCTTTCTCTGACCGTATACACCAGGGTTCCCTCCTGTGAACTCCATGCTGTTTGAATTCTACTCTCCTTTCTACTTCTATATCTACATACTTCCAGGATACTTCTTTATTCATGTCTTTTACAACTTGCTCTCACATTTCCACTCTCACCTTACACTATCTTTATTTTCAAGTCTACCCATTAACATCTGGGGAAACATTGGATGGTAGAAAGATTGTGAATTTTGGAATTAGGATGACTTAAATTCAGACCATCTATTTGATTTTGGAAAGTCACCTGACATTTCAGAATTCCAAATTTGTAATCTATGAAACTGTGGACAATAAAAATTTTGAGGCACATTTTGTATATATACTCAATAAAGTAGCTGGCACTCAGATTTTTGTGAACTATTGAGAGAACGAATGATAAAGACATTATAAGCAATTATCTAAAGGGATTATTAAAATACTTTATAAATAACTGGAAGTAAACAATTAAATCCTAGTCTTCATTTCTGACTACAGCTTGACTACGCTTCTGGCACTGAGGTTCTACACAGTTAATTGCCATGACTTTGATTTCCATTCTGCCTTTTATCAGCACAACCACTTCTTCTCAAGGGGATAGTACTCAATGTTGGCTGCAATATTGGAAGTCCTTGAAAGCTTCAAAAAATTCTGTTGCTAGGGGATCATCTCCAGAGATAGTGATTTAATTGATCTAAGGTATAACCTGGGCACAGGGATATTTTAAAACTCTTAAGATTTAACATAAATCTAAGATTTAACTATAAATCTCCCTGACTCAAATCTCTTTTTTTTATTGGTTGTTGAAAACATTACAAAGCTCTTGACATATCATATTTCATACATTAGATTCAAGTGGGTTATGAACTCCCATTTTTACCCCAAATACAGATTGCAGAATCACATCGGTTACACATCCACATTTTTACATAATGCCATATTAGTAACTGTTGTATTCTGCTACCTTTCCTATCCTTGCACATTTCTCAATTCTGAACTACATGATAGCTCAACCTCCATTTTATATTCTCTATCTTTCTAATATCAAGGATGATATTAATTTCATATAGCTTGTCTGAGACAAAACAATCATGGTAATTAAGATCTCAGTATTCTCAGCCGTCCATCTCCCATTTCCATCATTTGAATAAGACTTTTTACTCCATTGGACAGGCAGTAATATGTTTGCCAGTGGGTCACATCTTGATGAGGACCTTGGGTAACATAGGACTGTATTTTATTATGTATTTTTGGAATTAGAATGTGTTTAGATGGACTTGGTCATATTCTACTTCAGGGTGAGCTTCAGCCTTTCCTTCTATGTTTAAACCTCTCTGAGACGACCTTGATGTCACTGAAATTGGGTGTTGAAATTGGGTGCTGCCTCATCCTTTTGCTGAGGTCTTGGCATAAGTAAATGCCCCTTCTCTTATTCCAGGCTCCTTAAAACAGCAGTGTCAGAGAACCATGCAGACCTTTAATTGTTCAGCCTACCCTTCAGCTGCAATCTAGTTGCCTTGCTTATAATTTGGGTTTGAAGTCCCCACTTCCAGCTGTTCATAGCAGGGTTAGAACTCCTCACTGCTAAAAACTGGGGAAAACCACTGTATTGCTAAGGATCAAGTAAAATAATACAATTAACCACTTGGTATTTAAAAAATTACTTTCAGATTGGGGCAGTAACTCAGTGGTAGAGCACTCACCTAGCATGCATGAGGCCCTGGATTCAATCCCCAGCACCACACACACACACACACACATACACACACACACACACACAGTTACATTCTAAAAACTAGTTTTTGAGGTATTATTTATATTCAATGAAATCTATAGATCTTAAGTACAGTTTGATCACTTTTGAAAAATACATGAACTTATATAATCACCACTTCAATTAAAACATATTTTAATCACCTCAGATGGTTTTTGTGTAACTCACCAATCATGCTATAGCCTTAGCAGCAATTGCTGTTTTAAATTTCAACATTGACTGCTTTATTATAATTATATGTTTATTGATATGCTTAGTGTAGGGATCAGTAAAGGATAATTTGCTTCCTTCCTCTGTGTTTGGCATGCTGATAAATTATTCTGTATGCCCTCTATCTAATTAATTTCTAAGAGTGAAAATATTCATTCACTTCATATTTTAACTAAGTGAGCCATGAATGAAATGAGTATATCTCAAACTGAGATAAACTAGTTCAACATGATGTTAAAAAAGACTAGTTCAATATAACGTTCAAAGACAACACCCTGCAGTCTGAGAAAGATCCCATGTATCTTCCACAATGTTATTACCTTCATTTATAATCATGCCAAACACAAGACAACATTTGTCTTCCTTAGATTTTGTGGCAGATGCCTCTAGTTCAAGTATATGCTGGAAAGGTACATTAAGAAGACAATATGCAAAACACTGAAACCTTAAGACTTGACTTGGACTAGTGATCCATGTCCTCCCTATATTAAAATTTATATGTCCTATGTTCATAATCATTGTATTTTCTTATTTATTTGAAACTGTGGAGTTTTTCTTTCTTTGATTATTCTCTACGGCTTTTCCTCTGTTTACTTCCTCTATATCCCACTTCCCTCTTAACTCCGTCCTAGATCTTCTCATTGGTAACAGTGACTGCAAACTGCTATTTTAAAATGGTCTTGCTGTCAATGGAATTTGTTGGGATTTTGTTGTTGTTGTTTAGTTTTGTTTTTTTCCATATGTATACATCTACAACTTCACAGAAAATTAGTAGATGGCAGAGTATAAGAATAATCTTTGTAAAGTTAGCTTACATTGTAAGAGTTATAATGAAGGAAAAACCACAGTGCAAACAAAAACATAACCTCAAGAAGTTGACAAAGATCTTAATGGTAGGCAGAGAGAGAAAGAGGGAGGGAAGGGGGGAGGGGGAGTCAGACTGAGATTAAAGACTGCATCAACCCAGCATTGTGGGTGCAGAATAACTAGTGAGTTTCACCCCTAGCTCTGCCATTTATTGACTGTATGATCTTGGGCACAAACAATTAAGCTCCTTTGTTTCCAAAATCCAAGTAATAACACTGTGTGACATATTTCCTTGGAACTGTTTTGAGAGTGACAATTAAAATTGTGAGAAAAGGTTTTGTAAATTTTAAAGTGAGATAAAATGTAAGGTAAGGTAACTATGAACATTGTATTTTTTCTAATCAATATTGGTATTGGTTTTCAATTATAAAGAAAAAAGAAAGAGAACCTCACAATCATCTCTCCATGGCCTTCCTTTCTGTTGAATTCAAGAGGAGAATGAAAGTAAACAGAGAGGAAGACCTTGCTTTGGTCTATCAACTTCCTGAAATCTTTTCCCCAAAACACATTTGTTTCTCTTTGCACTGTAATTCTTCCTTGGTTGTAACTCTTATTATGATGCAAATTAACTTCATGAAGATAACATCCCTCCCCACACTAAACACTAAGACCTCTGATGTTAGAGTGCCTTGACCAAAATAAGAGAACAGCAAATTTGTAGACGAACGAATGAACAATACCATAGATGTTTAAGAACATGTATGTGAGTTCTTAGTTCCATTTACCAGAAAGAAAACAATCTTTCTCTTAGCTGTTTATGCAGAATATTTAGATGATAGTTCAAGCATACTATTTTCATTGAAGCCCTTTGAGTCCATGCATAGTCCACCAAGAATATTCAACAAAGATGGTCTTGATTGCTCTTTTGCTTCTTCTTCTATCACCAACATGACTTTGCTCCTTTCCTGTCTTTCTCCCATACCCTTCTTTTCCAGGATCCTGAACAAGTAGCATCTGGTCTTTGTTTTCATACCTGGAGAAGGCTTTGAGTCTTCTGAATAATTTTGAATGAGCACGTGCAGATCAAAAAGAACAATAATAGCTATCTTTTTAATATAGACCTTCTTTCATAGCATTTTGATGAATCATGTTAAGACTTCTGCTCAATTTCAGTGAAAGACATCACCATCTTTCTACCCCACTACCCCTATGGGAAGGCATGCTGATGGAATGTTTTATATATATACATATGTGTGTGTGTATATATATATATATATATATATATATATATATATATATATGTATGTATGTATATATATAGAGAGAGAGAGAAAAGAGGGTGAAGAAAACAGAAATTTCAATATTGATTTCATAATAGTTAATTTTAATAATTTAACAATATGAAATGTGCTTCAGTCTGAAGAACAAAAGAATATCTCATGGTTTGGGTACAGGATTATTATTACTACTGTTGTCATTTTATATTTTATAGCCACAGTCTTCCTGGAGTTTTGGAAAAGAAGAAGAAGTGTATTGACCTATGCTTGGGACCTTATTGAATGGGAAGAAGAAGAGGTGAGATGTTAGGAAACCAGGAGATAAGGAAACTGGTATATCACATGCTGCTGAGAACTACCCAAAGCCCAGACCTCCAGGCTAGGAGGAGCTGCACAACATTAGATCTTCCCTCAATGTTTTTTACTAACAATATCTTTAACTTCACGAAGATAACAGAGGTCAATGATGAAGTATGTGTTTTTTAAACTACTGCTATGATGTTTCCTTAAATTGCATTAGTGGAAAATTATAAATTAAAATATAGCTTAGAGTTTATTTGGAAAGTAATTGGCATCCTATTTTTAGTAAGTTGCATCTCTGTGAAGACATTGTAAAAATAGGTCAAATCTAGAAGTTTTCTATCAATTCTTAGAGGAAAATTTTTAATTTATGGTTTTGATGTTGAAATAACTTTAGTTTCTCTTGTAGGAAACACTTCGCCCTCAGTTTGAAGCCAAGTATTACAAGATGGAAGTAATAAATCCCATCACAGGAAAACCTGAGCCACATCAGCCTTCATCAGACAAAATCACTCGTCTTCTCGTGTCTGTCTCAGGGATATTCTTCATGGTAGAGTACAACCATCGCTATCAGAATGTTGTGGGATTCCGGGTTTTAAAATACGTAATGTAACCCCAACTCATTTTATGACCCTGAGAGTACAAAAGAAACCTTGTCCTTTTCAGTATTAGGTAATTCTTTCAATTAAAATAGAAATCACAGCTGGTAATGGCATTTTATAAGGGAAAATTTTGCACTTCTTTAAATAAAACTCTCATTGAAAGAAGCATACATAAGTTAAAATAAAATGAAAATATCCAAGTTGCGATTAATCGCATATCCTGTGTTAAAACTGAGCATTCCATTTGAAAGAAAAGTTGGATAGAATCTGCCCATTAGTATGGTAAATTTACACTTAGAACAGCTTAAACATTTCTTGTGTCTTTTTGTTTTCAATGTTTTATTTGTTTTACCTTATTCTATTTTATGTTAACTGAACCCTAGACTTTACACATGCTAAGCATATACTCTACCACTGACCTACACTCCCATTTCCTATTTGTGTATTTTAAATGGCAAATAAAATTGTATGTATTTGTTGTGTACAGCTGGATGTCCTGAAGTATTATGCATTGTGAAATGGTTGCATTATCTAATTAAAATAAGCCTTACCTCTCAGATTTATCATGTTTAAGTTTAAATCCTATACTGTTCTGACTCTAATGTAGTTCACTTGGTTAAGAGAGAAAATTTAATCCTTGTATCCTTTCTTAGAAAGGCTAACACCTTCAACTCTAAGGGACGGTTTTTGATGTACGGTGTTTGCTTCTGATTTTTAATGATGTGAGACAAAGGTGTCTTCTCTCATTTCCCACATTGCAGATTTCTCTGGTGATCACTGCTGTGTTTGCTGTTGTGGTGTACCGCCTGGTGGTCATGGAACGGTTCGCATCATTCAAGTGGAATTTCATCAAACAACACTGGCAGTTTGCGACATCTGCTGCTGCTGTCTGTATCAATTTCATAATCATCATGTTGCTGAATCTTGTGAGTGTTTACAGTCATATTTTTCCATGGGTGAAAAGGGGATGGACAGGGAAAAGGACTCTTACCTTTGTACTAGGGATATATGTACATTTCATCCATATGTTTTAAAGAATAGATTTAAAAAAAAAAAAAGAAAATTGATGCTAGTTTTATTGCCTTCCCTGCCTTTTGAGTTCATAATCTAGATTTGTGATAACTTCTATTCATTAAATTTATAAGTGCTAGAGATAGTGCTATGTGATTTTCAACAAATAAGGAATTGTATGAATTAGAAAACCACTCAAATAAGCTCAATCTCATAGAATTTGTTGGAAAGACATAGGAAAATCTGTTTGAAAGTTCAGTCTTGTTTCCAAGGCCCCAGGTGAAATGGAAAATAATCAGACAGCTATTCCATTTTTCTTTCTCTGGAACAAAAGCAATCTTCCTCTCTCTCTCTTCCTCTTGTCTCTTGAATCCTCTCTCTTTTCTCCATCCCCACTTTACAATGCTTCTTTATGAACATTTGATGAACATTTGCCCTCTTCTATCAGGAGGCTAATGCTCTTTACCTATCTGTGTCCTCTTTTTCTGTCATTCTGTTGTGCTGTGACATTATTATGCCTTGGTTTTTTTTGGTTCTAAATATGTGAATACTTTGTCAGGTTATATGCTGATTTCTCAAGGAGAGCATCTTTTTGGTTCAACACCACATGCATTTCTTGACTCATAAACCAAATGTTTATGACTAAGAGAGTGATATTATGCCTGTGCCTACCTGTTCAACAAAGTCTGTGAATAAAAGCCAATTGTCTTTGAAAACAGGTGGCACTAATTGGCACATCCATAATAATATCTTTATTTTAGCTCTTCCGTAAATCCCACAAGGTTGATATTCTCTCCATTATGTAAATGAAGAAACTGGGATTTAGAGAACTTAAAAAACTTGTAGCAAATCGTATATAGCAAGTGTTGATGCTAGAGTATGTACATCATGAGATAATTTATGTAAGTAGCTCAACAATGCATAAATAATTATACTATTTACAGGTAATATGTATTATTTCCAAATGTGGTAATGCTTACGTTATATATTTTACCAGGAGGAGGACTTGCTGTTTAAATTTTAGAAAGTTAATAAAAGGCTTTAGGGAAAATGAATACTCATTGTGATAAAGTATAAATTTTAATGCCATGAAAATACTTAACATCTTTCACTTAATCAGCTTTCTTCAGTTTTGATTTAATTTGTTGAAGAAGAATCTAATTTATAGTATCTCCAAACAAGACAAAAATTACTTTAATTTATGACTTTGTGTCATAAATTGAAGGATACAGGAAACATTGAAAAAGTATAACACCAGATAATTTATAGTTGCTCAAATTAATCTAGAATTTAGGAAAAAATATTATATTTCTTGAACAACATTATAATAATTTGAATTTTAAAAATATATCTGACAAAGGTGGTATCAAAAATTAAACTAAAGATCACTTATAGCTAAATAGATAATATTTGCACTTATAAATCAAAATACTAGTAGGCTTTTCTTCTGGAATGTAAGATTTTATATGATGTTTTTAGTGTAGTATATTATACTTACCATATATTTTGAATTTTCTTGGTTTTCTAAAATCAATATATTCTGTTTAAAACTAATAAAACACAAATCTTTGATAATAACTTCTGTTAGTCTCTTTTAAAGAGACCCTTAACCATATAATCTAAAGCTCATGTAGAGGGTTCTAATGTCATATTATTATTTAAAACAGCAAAAAAAGAAAAGAAAAGAAAAGGAAAAGAGACTTACTAGCTCTAGATCAAGGGTAAGATAATGGTAATTCAGATCCATATAATATAATATATAACCTATTCAAATGCTATCTTAATATTATTTAAGAACATGAAATAAAGTTCCACAAGAAGGAGACAGAATTTTACTTAATTCTAATTTTCTAGAATACACACACACACACACACACACACATACACTAGGATTTTGAAACTGAAAGTAATGATAATCAAAAGTTTACGGTATTATCTCTCAGTAATGGATAATATATAACACATGCTTTTGATTTAATATAACTTCTTTTGAACATGCACATATTTCTCTATAGGGTTATTGATTTACAAACAGTTGTCAATTTGGCTTTTAAAACATTCTATCTAAATTAAATACACTCCTTTTTTTGTACTTTATATGTGAGTCAATCCTAAAACTATAGCCACATAGACTGGATCACTTTTAACATTTTGTCTTTCACCACTTAAATATTTATGGTGGCTGAGCAACCTCCCCGCACACACACTCAGATCCTCTGCTCCTCATTTGTGCTTCCCTCTCCCCTCTGTCTCTCTCAAGCCTGTACAGGCTTTCATCAGTCAGGACAGTGGCTCCTCAACCTGGTTTCCTGATGAAAAGCAGTGGACTTTGTATGCAAATGAAGCTGCCTGACCCAGGTGAACCAGGGTGTCCCATGCAACATCTATAAGCTTTAATTTCTTGATCTTTCAAACAAAAGAGATAAAACTAACACATAAGGGTGTTAAAAGATTAAATGTGTCCTCTTCTAGTGCACAGAAGAAGCTAACAAGCAAATTTCTTTCTCTATATTTGTTTCTTGTTAGTATTTTAAATTTTATTTTCCTTAATAATTATTTTTATTCCTGTTCCTTTATTACAAAATACAAGCATTTTATTTGTTTTCCCAATTTCTCTCATCTTTATATAATACACAGAATTTGAATATTGATTTCCTGTTAGTTCAAAATGTGGTAATGATGATGATCTTTTTATTTTTTAGTCTTTCTAAATCTCCAGCCTACATCTGCATTCATTGATATTTATTTTTTGCTCCCTTTTCTTTAATCTATTACCCCTTCATAAATATTTAAATACTCAAAGGTGTCTTTGGAGAGAAAGAGAATATATACTGTGCTCTATTGTGTCTTTCCCAAATGTGTCTGACAACATAAGAAAAAAATTAATTCATGCAGAAGTCATACCAAAAAAATCTAATAATTTTCAGTTGTAATAGTTTTGTTATGTCCTCTTTAAAATCTATTATCTTTATCCTTTCTCTGAATTCTAAAATCAATACCTTGCTATTGTAAAAGAGTATTAAAGTATAAAAACATTTAAAATATTAAGTGGAAGTCACCTTCCTCAATCCATCATGCTCCCCACCAACATTAGTACCATAAAATAATTTTAGCCATTGTAGCTAATCAGTATTAATGGTTTTGTGTCTCTTTATTCCCCCACTTCACCTCCCATCAATTATTATACCTTTAGAAACAGTACCCTATGTTCCTTTGTTATTTGGTAATTTGTTCCAAAGACCTAATGATCTTCAAAAACATTTTGAGTAAATTAATGAACTGACAATGAGGAATATATCATTGAAAAGGAAAATGAAGAGGCCAAATGTGTTCATTTTTTTCTTGGTAAGTTAAGCATGACAGCTCTGGAACAGACACTCTAGGTCTGTGTTCAATCCTTTGTTCCCACCTAGTGAAATCACCATCATCTCAGTTGAGCTGAAGAACTATAATCAGAGTCTGTCTCTGAATGAGATGAAAGCTTGACCTTCAAATATTTTTTTTCACAAAAGTTCTTTCTCTTATCACTGATAGTATAAAAATTAAAATGTGGCTAAAGTTTCCATTGGTGTACCAGAGTCTAGTTTTATATTTTTTAGTTGCTTTTTAATTACCAGTTTTTTAAAGTCTGACTATTCTATCACCTATCCCTATCATAGCTAACATCCCCTAACTAGAACCAGTATTTTCTCTCAGACATATGGTTTTCTCTCTCTCATAAGGTTCAGATTCAACCTGTTCTAAGTTTATATGTTTGATGAGGCTTCTGGTATCTTTTTTCCTTCCAAAGCTCTTAACATTTTATAGAAAGCAAAGACTGGACTCAATAGATTGAACTTCTGTTTGTACAAATAAGGCCTTTGAAGGCAGGTGAGGGTGGTGTCATTTGAGTCACAAAAAACATTTTTTTTTTTTTTTGAGATTCTCAAAATCCTACCAGCTCCATGTGATTAAACACTACAGCCCATATACCTTCCTAATGCTAGACAACAAACATGCAGGGTTCCTGGAGAAGTCAGAACTTTGTTTTTCTAAATGTTTATTTCTGCTTATTGGCCCTTTAGGAATAATGATCCAGGGATTGATAGAAATGGAATAGATTATAAATGTTTCTCATTTGCTTTTGCAACTAACTAAGGAAAAGATTTTAAAACGGATTCATCATAAAAGCAATGAATGTGCAGCCAACTTAACCAATGTGAAAAAAAGTTATATTCTTGAGAATTAATCAGCATCAAATAATAATGCTGTTTGAATTTACACATTTTCTTTCTCCTCAGGATGCTAGTGCACTTCACAAATTATTAAATAGCCCTTCTGTTTCACCTGAATACAGAGGGTTACTTAAGAACTTAGTTAAATAAGGATAGATTAAAATACCAAATATTATACATGTTCATAGAGAAAATCAGATGCTACTTCTCTTTATCTTATTTTCAGGCCAAACTCAACATTTGGCTAATAAAAATATGCTCTTAGTTTCTTAATAACTTGAATTCAAGAGTCCTGTTTCACCGTTTCCACAATTTAAGAATTTGGCCTTAGTCAATATATTCTATTACTCCAATGTGCTTTTCAACTATTATCCATATGTATTAAGTTATGAAATGCTAAGTATGGCCAATAATTTACATCAGTCAATTTTTTTTTCTTTAAACTAGGAGCTCTTACAGTATAATATCTGTAGCCAGAAACCTTACTCTTTACTTTGTGCACTTCTTTTAACTCTTTCATCAGATTAGTGACTGACTGTTGTGAATTCTGCTGGGGAAACATTGCAGTTACCTGCTGATCATTTTTATTCCACTTCCTTAGTTCAGTTACTTGTCATGTTTTGCTTGGACAGTCACAGCAGCCTTCTAATTAGTTAGTCTTCCTGTCTTTATTCTAAACTCTTCCTATCTCTCTTGTGCATCATGATGGAACTATCTAAATTGCAATTTTGATCATTTTATTTTGTGCCTTCCTTAGACTGTTTAAGTTTTCCAATTCCTCTGATGTAAATATAAATTAATTTCCCCTTGCCCTCCATTATTTCAAGCCACTTTTCCTCTCTTCTCTGAATTTCTCTCCTTTCCTCTCTTTTGTACCCTGAACTCCAGCCTACAGAATCACTTTTGCCTGTCCTATAGCACTTTGGTACTTCACACCATGTCTCTTGAATCTTCTGTCTCAAATGTGCATATTTCTTTTGTCTGGAGACTTGTCTTTTCATCTGGCTAAGAATCACACCTTCTATAATTTTTTTTTTTTAGTCTCACAGATAGAATTGAATAATCTCGTCTTTGTTTTTATTCTCTCACATAGTTCCTGGACTTGCCAATTCTCCCACCCATCAGATTCTGCTAGTAGAATTAAGCAATCCCTTTGTGAGCATCCCCCTGTTGCAGTGCATATCTTGTCTTCTTTCTCCCATTATCAAAGTGTTCAGCTCATATGAAGAAGGGCTGTCACTTGCTCATTTTTGTGTCCCCAGGTCTTTGTTCATTAATGCCTAAAGGCATTTAGAATATCCTCTTTGAATGAAATTGAAATATTTTATTCTCCAAATGTCTTAGTTTGCTGCATATTATGTGTGCTCAAATTATTTTTGTAATAATTGTATTTTTAGTATCTTTCAAGCTTGTTGTACTTATTTTAATTTAAGCTAATAACCAAAGATTATACATTCTTAAATATTTCAAAATAGGTCAATCATGGAACCCCTAAATAAGTATTCAACTGAGGTTAAAGATATGTACAATATGATCAAAATTTGAATACAAATCCATTGTATAGATTATGAAGGTAATTTTAAAAGTGTTTCCTATTCTTGCTATACATCAAATTATCTCAAACACTTTTAAACAACTGCAGATGCCTGAGTCCCATTCCAAATTTCCTTTGTGGAAAAACTGTATTTGAAACAAAACATTTAAAAATTATTTCTGGTGATTCTGATCCGATCAGCCTCTAAAAGAGCACTAGAGAATCACTGATTTAAGGTAATGAGGGTGATTTTGATGCACAGCCAACATCAGAAACCACATATTCCACAAATAAGTAGCAAATAATTTAACAACAGTTAAAGCTTCAATTTATTATGTTTAACATTTTTTTTCAAAATATATAACTAAAAATCTTCAGTGATAGAATTTGAAAACCAACGGTTGGTCATTCCCAAGTCCATCCTTTGCTTCTTCATTTGCATTCCCATGAAAATTCAGTGCTACTTACAGATGCCATGCATAGTATGGTTATTATTTCTATCAGGAAATATTTCAAAATCATATTAATAAAAAATGTGAAAACACTCTGAAAAGAAGCATTTTTGTGGCTTCACAGTCAAACTTTAATTAACATTGCATCAGCAAGACAGCTCTTTCACATCAGGCTTAATAGGTAATTCTTAAGAAAAATATAGGAACATCTGAGCAGAGGTACTCTAGGATTATGCCAGTTAAACCTTTCCAGCTCCTGAAATGAATGAACTTCTTTTTATGTTCCTTATATCATTTTAAATATCCATTTTCCATGTAGAGATCATATCATAAGTGCAAAGAAGAAAAATCCCTAACTACATTTGGTTAATATAAGTACCCCATGATGTTTCTAGAGTCTTCCTGATTGTTGATCTGTTTCCTTTTTTGGAGTCCAGAGCATACATTCCTGATTCTTTCAAGGTCTTGATTATGGAAGGTTTCTAAATATACTTAGCTTTTCTTAATATTTGGTTACCACTGATCAGCAATTGTTATGCAAATAGGTTATTGTGGAATAGGGTGGATCAAAGGCTTGGAGTGCACATCTTACCCAGGAGAGGAGGCAATGCCAAATGAGTCATTTAATAAGGCTCTTCTAAAAACATATTTGTTTAGTTTGTTTATGTCTTTTTCCATGGTTTCTAGAAATACAGAAAGGTAGATAACTGGCAAACAATACTGCAAAGGTCTTCTTGGAGTTTGTTTTCACAGTGGAGGCTGGACAGAAGGGTTCTGACTCAGAGTGCAAAGGAATAAAACAAGTGTAGAACTCCCTGATGTGGCTCATACAACCACCGTGTCCTTTTCCTGACTTTGCTGCTCTTTTCAATTTTGGCATAACACCCTAACAAGCATTGGTGGAAAGCTGATGATTTCTAAGCTTGGAATGAATTCTAAACTTTATACCTTGGCCACTTATGCCCTTATAAAATGTTCCTTTCTCAGATCTGTGACTCATCGCAACTATTTTTTTTTTCTTATTGCTGCCACTCCTAGTTTCTAACTTTCTAGTCCCTCATAAGACAAAGCAAGTCCATGTCAGTCTTTGGGCATTTGCACTACTGTTTCTGTATCTTAAAGGTGCTTGGTCCACATTCTTGCTTGGCTCCCTCCCTTGCTTCATTCCTCTGCTCAATGAGCCCTCTTGAAAAGCAATTGTGTATGGTTTGCTATTTGTCTCTGCCCACTGGAGTCTAACTTCCATGGAAGTGGAGACTGTGTCTACTGGTTCACAGTTGTTTGGTTACACAAACACTACCTGACCATTAAAGGTTTCTAATGAATATTTTAACCTAATTAATACATACAAATAATATTTGACCTAATTAAATATATGAATAAAAATACTCTGCTTATAAATGTATTAGTGGGTTAATTTTAGAATTGTAGTTTCTCCAATATGGTAGTGTGTGTGTGTGTGTGTGTGTGTGTGAGAGAGAGAGAGAGAGAGAGAGAGAGAGAGAGAGAGAAATGTGTAGATGCCAGAAAAGTTTTCCCTAAAACCTTTCATTCTCTCCTCTCCCAGATTTCCATTCCATTTCACATACTCATACGCATGCTCTTACAACTTGCCCTGGCAAAGTGATTGCTACCATATACTATACAGTTCGTGTATTTAAAACATGATTTCTTTCTGCACTTTGAAGCTCTGAAGTTAACAATCACTAGCATGGGCTGATTGTATAGCCCATCCATCCTGATGGTACCAATCATCCATAGCATTAGAACCTTGGATGATGCAGTTTCTCAAGTGCCCCAGAAAGCTTACCAGCAGCAGTACAGCATCTTTTGTGATTTTATAACATTCCTCGAAAGGTATTGTAACTTCCTGGATCTTCTTCCAGTTACATTTATTTTGATCCAGTTTGTAGGCAAGCTCTGTGTGTTAGGTATTCAGACAAAAATCTTGAACTGTTACAAGGCATAGCATAGATGTTACAAGATAGCCATGATATCAGATCTTAATTATACTTGCTTAGCAGTGCTCTATCAGGCCAGGTGCCTGACATTCTAAATCTGTTTCCTGTTCTGTAAAATGGAACTTATTTTATCTATTTAATAAAATTAATGTAAAGGAATAGCACTGTGTGTAAAGCACTGTTTGGCTCATGTGAAATACTTGACATTGCAGTTTCAGATGAAATTAGATTTCAACCCATGTGAGAGCATTCAACTCAGTGCTAGAGGCACAACAGGAAATTGTCCCCAAATTTGAAATGATGGTGTATGGGTGTAGTAATAAATAAATACATACATTATGGGGGAAAAACAGCTGTACCAGGGAAAGTATGAGAATATTGTAGTCTGAAATCTTTCTGTCTCAAGATGTTTATGTCTTAGAAAGAGAGAGATTTGAATCATAGCTAAGATGAAACACAGTAGTTCGGCTGAGAGAACTCTCTGAAATATCAACAACTCTTAAAATATTCAAGTCCTTATCATTTTTCAGGGGGCTGTATTAAACTAAGCTTCTCATATGTTAGGCAAGTGCTCCCCCACTGAGCTGTAACCCCAGTTCCAGATCAATAACTTTTAATTTTACATGCCAGCATCTTATTGGACTAACCTAAATAGTAATTAATTGAATCTTGTGGTTATGTAGTAATATTCAAATGCATATACATATGCCTACAAACATATATCTGCCTTATACCTGAAGCAAATATAGTTTTCCTATCATATTTACTTAAAATATTATAAAGTATGTCTTTAATTAATTCTATTAAACTGGTTAGAGAGTGCAAGGGAAGGAAAAAGCTGGCAGATGATGAAAAATGTTATCAGAAAAATCTGTTGTAGGTGATGTGACTAACAGCTTAAACACATTCATCTTAGATTCTGTTATCAATAACCTAAAAAACTATTTTTCTTTAGAAATGAAAACTTGCACACTGTTTTTGTCATGGCTTGGGATATTGTTTATCAATAATATAGAAAGAAACTTTCACTTTCGACCTTCCAGTATGGCAAAAAAGGCTCTATAATTTGAAGATCAAATCTCTGCTCAGCCATTAACAATATTTTGCTTAAATAGTTTCTTGTTTAAAATTAAGATTAAATATAGGCAAGAGAAAAGACTCACTGTTGCAGATAATAAGTGTGTTTGTGTGTTAATGTATACATGAATATGTATTTCCATACATGTTTATATTATATCTATTTTGGGTATGTTTATACAAAGCACTACATATCATGCATTAATAAATATTTATAATTAATTTAAATGTAAGCATTTTGTTTAACACACTTTAAATGTTTCCTTAAAAAAAATGCAAATACCAGGCTTCGCTAAAAGAAGAGACTAATATTTTCTACTTGTTCTCTCTACTGTAGGCTTATGAAAAAGTTGCTTACCTCCTCACTAATTTAGGTAAGTCCATGTTTCTTAATTCACTTGTTAGTAAGAAAATGACATGATCAAATGGGTCTATAATTACTTTATATATTTTAGCATTTTAAATATCTTCAGTTATATGATTATTTATCAATAAAAATGAGAGGTAGTGCAAGATGGTGAAGTACATTAAAGAAAAATAGAGAGGCAATGCATGAAGTTACAATATATCCTAACTAGAAATTAGCAAGCCCTGTTCTTATTACTTGATGTTTGTTCTCCAGCTGTACCATTCTTTAGGTTTTCCACCAATATTTATTTTGATATATAATATTTTCTATATATTATTAAATATCAAATATATAATATTCTCATGATAAAAATATTATGCATGTTATACATATTTTATTTATCATCAGAATATTGTATATCTACACATATATGACTTAAAAGGTAAAACAATATGAAAATATTTATAAGAAAACTCACTTCTTTGTCACATTAGCCATTCCTATCTTTTAATACCCCTAAGAAACTGCTTTTAAATATTTTATCAGTTTTCTCTGTTACTTCCCATTTATTTCTAAAGATATGCTTTTAGTGCCACTATTGGATTTTTATCATTGAAGAACTTATTATTTCCTTCTTATTATGAAAGTACTAATTATAAATTCTTACTGTTCTTAATGATACTTTCAGAGCCCCATTCCCCATACCTTCTATACATAACCTGATACATACAAACTGCTATTTCTCTTCCTTCCGAAGTAGTTATATCTGCATGTTTAGCTAAACTACGATGTTCACATCAATTATGTCTGTATGACTATTTTTATATTAAGACATGATGTATGTTATAATTATGTTTTAGCATCACTGTTTATCTTTTCATTAAAATGGACTATTTTTACTGAACTTTCTGCATATATTCCTTTATTTATCCCACACTTTTTGCCAAGACACTAAATTTCCTCTGAATATATTCAAACATATCATTTGTTCTATGCACTTGATTTTCTTGTTAGGTTATTCTCTCAAGTCTTCCAAAGACTTCAGTCCAGGTGGGTGACATTCTAGGCTTGTGGCTACCTGAAACTAGACTCATTCTCACCAGTACCTTGGGAATGCCTGTCACTGTTCTTTCTAAATTGCTTATTACTTCCAGAATACCATGCCCTTCTCTTTCTTGGCTCAATTCTTTATGTTGCTTCCTACAAATAAATTTCTTAAAGTTTTGTATCTTTAAAACATCTTTGTTCTATCTTAAAATTTGATTTTTTTATTTTCCTGGAACTCTAAGTGGGAACTAAAATCCCTTAGATTTTTTTTAATCATCTTCTTAGTTTTTTAATAAAAATCTTAGATTAACTTAGATTTTTAATAAACTTTTTTTTACTATTTTCTAAACTCCAGTGTTGTTTTTGAGAACTCTGCTACCATGTTGATACCCATTCTTTTGACTGTAATCTATTTTGATTTTTTATGCATTTATTCTCTAAAATAATTTTGGATCTTTTCCTATCTTGAGATTTCACAGTGATGTACTTTGATAAGAGCCTTTTATTATCTACCTGCAGGATACTTTTAGTGCTCCAACAATGTGGGTATCTATTGTGTCCATCAGGAAGCATGTGTTGAGATGGAGTTAGTGATGAAATAATTTTATAACTCCTGAGAAAGGTACAATGGAAAGAAGCAAGATTAGGCAGGGAAAGCCTCAGACATCAATGTAAAGCTGATGCTATTATCCAACCCGAGGGGAAGTTGTAGGTAGTGGGCACATGTGCAGAGCTGCCATAAGATAACCTAGAAACCCAGAAACTTGGCTTCTCTTTTTTTATATATTTTTTGTTCCATAATTTTCATCCTCCTTTTGTCTTTTCCTGGAATTCTTTTGATTCAGATGTTTCTTACCATATCCTGTTACTTTTTTCTTAAATTTTTTGATTTGGGGGGGCTGCTTCAAGATAATTTCAATTTTGTCTTTCACATCTTCCCCTGAATGTTTTATATCTACTCATATTTTGCATTCTAGAGCAGTTTCCTATTCTTTGAGTGTCTCTTTTCTATATCATCTAATTATTGCTTCACAGACGCTGTGTCTTAATTAGGCAACATAATGTTCAAAATGTGGGCTCTGGAGTGAGATTGCATGGATTGAAGCCTCCTTTATAACTTACTCTAAATACAACAACAATATTGTTTTCCTCTTGGTGCCATATATTTGCTTTTTACATATGGGAATTGTGTTTACTATAAATGCCACATAGTGTCATTTTAATTGATGTTTATAAAACATTTCTAAGAGTGTCTGATATGAAGTCAGTACTAGAAAAAAAATCTAGCCATTAACCTCTATTTTCTATTTGAGGATATTTGTGAAAGGGCTCTTTACAAGTCTGTCTTTCTTTGCCTTTTTTTTTTTTGTTCCCTATGTAGTTTCTGTGTGTTCCTCTTATCACTTTGTTTCAGATTCTCTCTTAAGTGTAAAATACTTTTCTCAAATGCCAGATAAACTGACTCCCCATCCTCTCTGTAAAATAGGAACTAGAAAGCATAGAGAGTACTTTCTATGTGGGGGTTTTCACCAGTGCTGCAGGGGAGACAATGCCCCAGCCACTTTGTGACACATCTCAAGTGTTGAATTGTAGGTAGTTTCTCTTGGATTGCTCAATTTCCCTTCAGAGCATATTGCCATCACCTGCTCTATTCCCAGGGTGTTGGCTTGCTAGCACTCCTGTCAGTTAGAATTCAGACTTCCATGTGAAGGCCCCTTCTGCAATGCCACCTTATCCTACCTTCATTCATTTTTTTCTGTTTTGGGGAACTTTTGCCTCCAATTCTAGGTCTTTTTATGATTTCATCAGCAGAGATCAGCTTTCCTCTTTAGTCTTCCCCATACCTCTACTATTTACTTTATCCTTAGTCTTTGGTTTTCATGCTTACTGATGTACTGAAGTTAGGTACTGTCTATTTCCTTTCTGGCTTCTCTCATCTCTGTCTTCTGCATTGTTCTGCTCTCTATTTGTTCTTGTATTTTAATACCTTTTTGAAGGCATAATGATTTGCTGGGGGGGATTAAGAAGGGGAAGATATAAAATATACATATGACCAACAGAAACTCTTTAAGGAGTTTCTTTACTCCTCTCCCTCATCCAAAAAAAAAAAACCAAACAAACAAACAAAAAACAACGGAAATCCTGGAATTGAACTTGTGTTCATTTGGGAGAGAAATGTGTTTATTATACAACTTTATGGAAAGTGATCATCTCCACTCCTCCTTCTTTTCTTAATTTTTTCATCAGTTTCTGCATTAGTAAAATTTTTAGTTGGTCACCTGACCCATAAAGTATGTTCAGTTAATGGGAGTAATCTCTGTTTCATTGTTCCTTAAATTCTCAGCTGAATTTTCTTCAGCTGGGTAATGAAATACTCAAACTAAATTGACTTGCTTTTAAGTGCTTTTAAACTACTTTATGCCCATAATAGGAGCAAATCTAATAAGAATGATTTGGGGGAATCATAATAGTAGGAAGCAGAACAGTTATTCGTGTTATTATATAACAGAAGTGTCACAATTTTCCTTTTTTCTAAATTCCACATCTATACACCAGTAATGACTTAGTGTCTATGAAATTATAATTATCAGTTAATAATCAATGAACTATGTTAATTTAAAATAATGAAAATGTTGATATTTTCTTTAAGTAATACAATCTAACTGTACGTGTGTGTGTACATATTCTATTCTAGCTTGTTAAATAGAAATTAGATTTTACTCTTCAATGAGACCATAAAGTGTTATTAAATTTTAAAAAAATTATCCTTTGATTTTTCGCCAAATATTTTATTTTTAAAAGCCACAAAAAAGCAAAGCTCCAAGTCACATTTTTTAAAAAATATTTTTTAGTTGTTGATGTACCTTTATTTTATTTACTTATTTATATGTGGTGCACAAACACATAGTAACTTCCTCTTGGACACACTAACAAAATAAAAGGTTATTTTTTAGACCTTATAAAAAATAAGAGCTTAATTTGTGACTAGGTAATGATGTTGAATAACTAGCTAATCATCAGTAACTAGGTTTATTGGAGAAACTGTAATAGATATTTTGGCCAGAAAACATATTACCCTAGAAAGCAACGACAACATTTTCAAAGTTCAGAATTTGTTTTCTCCTAAAAGTTAAAAGCCAATTCAAAGGAGGTCATGATTTGCTATAAGTATAGAGAATATACTGCTTTCTTACTTGTAGTATAGACCCAAGGTTCAACTCAAAAGACATCATTGCAGTAAACACCATTATCTCAGTTACTGCAACATAACAAATCAGTGTAATTTGATACTTGAGAATAATTGCATGATTTTTTCATGATTCTGCAACCTAAGCTAGCCTGATAGGTAGTTTTCCTTTTTCATGTGGTACTGGGTCTGAAATGTCCAAGATGGCCTCTTCAGTCCATCCCTTACACCTCACGTAGGATTAGAGACCTTTGCCTCACCTTTCTTCATGTGCCTCCACATGGCTAGCTTGGGTTTTTTCTTAGCACTATAATGATACTTCTTACATGAGAACTGACTTCCAGACAAATTTCCTAAACACACTTGCTTATCAACCCTCTGTTTGCATCTAACGTACTAGTCAGAGAAACAGCCCTCTGCTTGCATCTCACTAGTCAGAGAAAGTCACATTTCCAAGTTCAAAGTCAAGGTTACAGGCAATTACACTTGGAGGAGTAATTCATTGAGGGCACTCATATAAAAACCATCAAAGTAAGATCTTTCTAGTATGATGCCTTTATTTTGAGAATGTTGTAATATTGGTCAGAATAGATAAAGCAACTAAATAACACTCAACATGCCTCTAATATGATTGTGGTCTTTTCTTATTTCAAATCTCCTTTCTGTGTAAACTTTGCTGGTTCATCAAATTTCCATCCCACAATGTTCCTATAGCGTGAAACAGAAAAAAAATTCTTAAGACCAGGCCACAGAATGCATTTTCCTATGACATTCTCAATTCCTGTTATAATGTTTGGCATACATGTCTTCATTCATATAATAAATATACAGGAAAGACCTAATATTGTAGGCAAGGTAGTAGGGAGACAGACCATTGCAATATCTAAGTGTATTTTTTAGTAAACTTAAATTTAACTCAGTAGTAATTTTATTACATATTTTTTAATTATATTTAAATTAAGTTTTTAGCTTTTTACTTGCCTTATCATTTTAGGGTTTGAGTGTTAGAGATAATTATCATTTCATAATTAATAGAAAGTGACTTAATAACTACCATAAAGGCATTTATTATTTCAATTTGTTCTAACTTTCTTTAGAGGACCTATAAATAGTTTTCAAAAGAGTGCATAAAAAAATTAAAACACCAGATACATCATTATTTCTGATAAAATTAACAAAATACAGAATAAGAAAAAACAAATCAGTAAATGAATACAAAAATAAATTATGTGTTTGCATTTATCTCCAAATTTATTTCCATCTGTCTTTTTTTTTTTTATTTTCCTTTGTAAACAATCAAACAATTGCAATTTTGAAGACTGGGACTCAAACTGAACTTCAACAAATGAAATCCAGCCATATATAGATGAAAAGAAAAAAAATAATAAATACAAAAGATGAAAATGACTAATAACTAAGAAACAAGAGCACATATATCAGGAAAATAGTAACAATAAAATCAGATGTGACTATGTTAATATTAGGCAAACCAGAGTTTAAAATATATTTGAGAACTAAAAAAGGATGTTCATATTGCTTTTTTTAGAATATCCACGAACAGAATCTGAATGGGAAAACAGCTTTGCCCTGAAGATGTTCCTTTTCCAATTTGTCAATTTAAACAGTTCTATTTTCTACATTGCTTTCTTTTTGGGAAGGTAAGTCAAGTTTCTATGTGTTATCTTTGCAGAGTAAAAACCAAAAGCAATAGTTAACAGAGATATTAAATTCTTGAAACCTGCCTTGGAAGATTGTCCTAATTGACCATCATATGCATGTTCAGGTGACTTCTGTAGCCACTGCCAATTAAAGTTGGCACACAAAATTAAAATGTATGTCCTATACTTAAGTTGAATTATGACTATCTACTCATCAGTTATTATTTTGTTAAAGAATAAATAATTTTTGTATAATTCCAAATTATAATTTCTCAACATGTAAATTTCTTCAAATCATCATTTTAGTGTTGTTCTTGTTTTTACATTTTTGATACAAAAACATAATGCAATGAAAATTTCCACCTAGTGTCATGGAAACATGCTGATGCTTGAAACATTTTGAACCAAAGCTTTCAGCACATTATGGTAATATTCTTGACCTTGGTCCAGAAGACATTACAACTATGTGTGGAATTATTAAATGCCATCAGGTTGGTTTGTCTGTACTTTCTTGACCCTTTGGTACTGAGTTCATGCATCACTTTTTCCTTCTTAAATCAAGTACTTGGATGTTGTCTAAGCATAACAAAAGTTAGCTGGGGACAAATTGCACCAGTGAACTTTTATGTCTACCCACACACATACTTGGTGTGGCGTTTAGCAGGTGTTCTTCACTTAACTGCTATTGAATTAATTTTATTTTTCTTTCTCCCTCTCTCTCTCTCTCTCTTTTTTTTTTTTTTTTAACAGATTTGTAGGCCATCCAGGAAAATACAATAAACTTTTTGACCGGTGGAGATTAGAAGAAGTAAGTAACCTTGTGAGGGTGGATGAGTGAATGGGCACAGAGCCGGGCCAGTGACTGTGGGAGGGTTGGGGGTTGGGGAGAGAATACTAAGCCCAAGCATATGGAAGGCCCATTATAGTAGAGAGGAATTCCTTCAGGTTCTAAAAGGAAGCAACTACACATACTTTTAAAATGGCTTTTGACTAGTCAAATCTCAAGACTCTGACCTCAACTCTCTTTTATTATTTTCTATCACATTCTTTTCTTCCATTCACAAACCACAAATATTTAGTTCCAGCAATTTCCTCATTTTGGAAATTGGCATTATCTATTTCATGGATTTCCAAAGTTTTAGATAAGTTAGGGAAAAGGGAAATTTTGGTCCAGAAGAAATCTTATTTAAAATGTCAACATATAGATATGCCAATATATCTGCCAAAGGCTCATCTTTGTTTATTGATTTGCAATATGTATGTTCTGTGGAAAACAATGTACAGGAGTAGTATCTCTGCATGCTATATACACTGCAGCATATTATATATTTTCCCTAAGACTGAGAAATCGTCCTTCAAAAGGCCAACCATTGCTTGACAGTGTAGAGTCTTGCTTCCTCAGACTATTGCCAAGAGAAACATTTGTTTTAAACAATCTGTTAATCAGAAAGATTCTCTTTTTTAATTTTAGCTTCTTTGGCTATGAGTCAGATGAACGATATTTTTTGTACATTTGTTGGACATTTAAATTTCTATGTACATTTGTGTGTATTATTCCTGTATATTTTCATTGAGTTATGTCTCTGCTTTATTAATTTACAAACTTAACAAAATTAGATTGTAATCTTACTAAGTTGCTGCAGATCTCTCTTCATTTTGTTCTCTTTTAGGTTAGCTTTGATACATTTCTTTATGAATTGTATATAATTTTCTAAAAAAAAATCACTGTTTGAATGGCTTTTAAGATTTGTACCATGCCAAAACATATTTTTTTCACTGAGAGGAATTCTATAAGAATATATTTTTACTGTTATTTTTAAAAGAGTGATGTAGAGTGATGTGTTTTACACATTAAGCATTTGTTTTGATGTAAAGAGTTAATGAAGTAATTTTTTCCCATAAAAGAAAGACACATTTAATAAAAGAATTTCTTTCACTCTGCATAATGAGATTTTATATTTATCATATTCTGTATATTATAATGTGTCTATTTCTGGTATTTATGGATTCTATTTTTATTGGTATTTCTTTGGTACTGGGGGTATTTTATCACTGAGATAACTCCCCAGTTCTTTTTATTTTTTTTATTTAGAGACAGGGTCTTGCTAAGTTGCTAAGACTAGCCTATAATTTATGATCCTCCTGTCTCAGCTTCCCAAGTCACTGAGATTACAGGCATGTACCACCATGCCTAGCCAAAATGTCTTTTCCTTTTCTAGTTCAAACCGTTTTAATTATTCTAATGTAAAACCCAATTTCATACAAAGTATCTTTAATAGAAGGCTATGATTTAGAAAGAGAAAAAAGATTCCCCAAGAAAACTGAGGGTAGAGGTATTTCTAGTTTCTAAGAAGCTCCTCAAATCTCATGAGAGGGCACATTAATGTTGTCTTCTCAGATCATTTTAGAAATTGATTGCAACATAGATAAAGCCTAAAGTTTCCTAAGAACATAAGCTTTATTAAAAAATAAATTAATAAAAAACTGGGCTCAAATGCTAATTAAACTTGTATCTTTTTCTTTGCTCTCAATTTAACTTTCCTGAATTTCTGTTCCCTCATCCTAAATTGACAACAGTAATCCTTAGGCTGCCAAATTACATATACATATATATGTGAGATAATTTGCATAACACAATTAGCATCACCCTGGTGCTGATTGCTAGTATTTACCAAAGTTCTGTCTCCACAATTACTGAGAAATTATTGTATTGGCCAAAGACAGACTAAGACCTTTCATGATTCTGGAACTGCCTGGAAATCTCCAATCCAACTAGCAGTTTTCTTTCAAGGCCCAGAATTGTAACTACTGAAGTCTGATCACTTACCACATTAGGAACCCAAGGCTGACTTTTTCAGGAGTGTTTAACTGAAGTTAGGAAGAGTAGGATGGGTTACACAGTGGTAACAGCCAGATAGGTCTACATATTGATACCACTTTGGGGCTACTGTCACCCATAATTTCATTTAATTGTATATCCTTATTCTTTATCATGAAATTATTGGAAATCTTGATTGATATTTGAAAATCCCAGAAAAAATATAATGCTGGTGTCAGTAAAAAATGTTTCATAACTACGCTAGACATTTTCCATAGGATATATGAGCTATGTGGTGATTGTATTTTCTAAGAAAGTATTATGTGCTTTGAAAAAATTCAGAGAAGTGAAAAAATTCAGGCTTGTAATATACCCCAGAAATCCTGTAAATATAGATATGGAAAATGTAAAGAATATAAGATAAGAATTGATCCTCTGAATTCATTCATTCAAGAAATATTTATTGGCACATATTCTATGCTGGACCTGTGGTAGATAATATGAGGTGTACAGATTAAGGAATCTTAAAGAATATGATGTAAGCACAAAACAAAACAAATATTTTGTCTTTGGATTCTGACAGTTTATACTCTAATCCTTTTCAACCCAAAGGCAAGATCTTTTTTAATATCTATAAATCTCCATTCCTTTTTTAAAAAAACTGCTGCTACATGTAGCTATATCACTATTGGCCATTGATAGATTAAATTGGATGGTGCATGTAAAACACGAGGCATAATTACTGGTAACCATTATAAAGAAAGAAAAAATGCTAAAATTTGTGTTTGAACACCTATGATCTGGCTGACCTGGACTTGGGAATCTCATATTATAGCTATATGCTATGTCACAAAATTTTTATGTAAATATAATATTAAATTTTAAAAAATTATATGTAATATTAATTGAGTGCTTACTATATACTAGCAAATTCCAGAAATTATAAGTGCTTTTCATTTGTTAATTCATTGGATTCTCATACAGTTTTATTACATTCATGTTAGAGATGAGGAAACAAAGGCATGGAGAACTTTAAGTGAAAGATTAGGGGCATTGGAATCTGATAGTCCTGTCTTCTCCCAGGTTCATCATCTATAAAGTGGGGCTATCAACACCCTTCATACCAGGTTTCCATCAGGAGGAAATGTGAAAACTTTGAGCTCTGGCTTGTCCCTGATCATATGATTTTGATGGTGCAGTTGGGATGAGTGCCTGGGACTTCTGCACACTCGTCTACATGCTTTTACACAAAGTTGAATATTTTTACCAAATGACTTTTAGACTTTTGAAAAACCGACTTTTAACTCAAGGACATCATTACGTGAATAGGGCAAACCAGCAAACATCCTTAAATCCCTTACTGTTCCCTATGAATCTCAAAGTCATCAAAACTCCATTTCAACAAAACTGTAAATGACCTTTCAGCCTCCCCGCTTTGGCCTACTACCTTTTATGGGGAATAATCCATTCACATGGTCTTGTGATTGTCTTATTTTTTCAGGCCTACACAATAATACATTGTGTAAAACAGGTACTTCAAGGCAAAGAACACGTTTGGTACGTAGAATTTATCCTAGCATGGTATAAAGCACTGTATTAGAGGGCAAAGGACGACAGCTTTCTTCCCACAGGGCCAGTCAGTGTTACATGACCTTAGGGAAGTCAATTTGCCTCTAAATCTTTCTACAAAAATTAAGAGCTTCGTTTTGCCACTATGATCTATGATCTGACTCTGTGGCTTAGTAATTACTTAGCTTTAGACCTTCCCCTGAACACAGTTATTAGATGTACATGGCAGAGTATAAGGGTCCTAAATTCATTTAGAAAGAAGAGGCATGCTTGGAAAGGTGAATTTATTCCTCTTCATGTAGTAAGCATGTCCACTGGCAAACCCTCTCTGGCTCAGAGAGTATTAAGTTACTGGGCTGGAACAGGGAAAGCAAACTCTTTTGCATCTTAATTATTTGTTCCTTTTGAAGTCCTACTAGTACCAATTTGATAGAAATAGAAACTGTGGATCAAAGCTGTAGAGACTATCATCCTTATGAGCAGGACATGAGCTCATTTCTAAAGAAACAGACCTACGCTTTCCCACCATAATAGCTTCTATAGTGCAGAGTTTTCAAGAAAAATACATGGGTTGTAATTTTCACTGAAATCACTTTTGTGTGTGTGTGTGTGTATTCTTATGTTTTTTAGATTGAAAATCTAAAAAAGCAGAGGCACACAGTGGAGAAAACACTGGGATCATACTGACAAACTATTTTGTGATATACCTTTATCACTTAAAATGCATTCTAATATATGTAGGTATTCCCTCTCCAGGAGGTTGACTTTAACACTTTTCTATCATCTTGAGAGTGGCCTAGACTTAGTGGCTCACTTGTAAAGACTAAAGAGAGGAAAAAGAATAAAAAAGAGTAGCTTTGCAGTAAAACACCCTAGAAAACACTGCATCAATCAAATAGGTTAACGAAGCCAGTAATGTTCTGTATGAAGTAGCTCTGATAGGATGTAATCGTCACCTCTGTGATCTTTCTCCAATGCACAAAACCACAGTCTTAACATGAGAAAAGCATCAGACAAACCCGGACTGGGTGAAATTCCATGGAATATCTATTCTGAGATCTTCAAACTTTCAAGTTATAAAAAATGATCAAATCAGAGAAAAAAGGGAGAGAAGAAAAATAAATGCAATGGCGTATGCTGAGTTAAATTGTGCAGCAGTGTGAGGAAAACTGATGAAACGTGAATAATGTATGAAATCTAGTTAGTTGCAATGTAATAACGTTGGCTTCTGAGCTTTGACAACTATACCATGATAATATAAGGAGCAAAGGCAAGGAACTCAGTGAAGAATGTATGGGAACTCTCCACAAATTTTCAATAAATCTAAAATTATTCTGAAGTTAAAAAACCAATATATATATATATATATATAAACATGTGCCATAGAATTATTCTCCTACTACCTGATTGTTAATGGTATATAGTATTCCACAGCAGTTATCAAATGTGATCATACCTAACACAGAGCTTGGCAGATAGTAAGTACTCATCAAAAGTTAGATTTGTTTGTATTGCTGTTATGATTTTTAATCAGTATTACATTATAACTATTAAGAAATTTCCCTCTCAGTGTCCTCACACATGCCATTTCTTTTATTTTTTTTATGCATGAAACAGTTTGACTCAACTTTAGATTTATTGCTCAATTTAATGGTGGGAAAAAGAGCAGATCATTATTGCTCTTCTTGTTTCTTCCCAGTGTCATCCTAGTGGCTGTTTGATAGACCTCTGCCTCCAGATGGGTGTTATCATGTTTTTGAAGCAAATATGGAACAACTTCATGGAGTTGGGATACCCGTGAGCATGCTTTAACCTTGCTTTATATATAGTTATGAAGGAGAGAGTAGTTGCATTAAGCATTCAGGATGGGTGACAGACAGAGGAGCTTTATTTCCCATTTGGCTCCCTACTAAATGCATGACCCTGTAAAAGTAAATAAGCATTTCTGAGTCTCTAATTTTATCTTTCTATGATGAGATCACAATCATGAATAACCTCTCCCTTAAGAACAGCTGCAAGGATGAAGGAAATATTGATGTAGAGTAACTAGTTCAACATGGTAAGACACCTGTTGCTATTTTTGAGATTTTGACATTACATATTCTTGAAGATAGAAATCATTTTTCTGGTTTCTTTGGACTACTAGCAGACGAATAATTGCTGTTACTCCCAGGAGAATAATGGGCTGCATGATTTTACATTTGGCACCCTTTACAAATCCACCTTGCCCCTCAAAAATAATTTGAACAGAACTGATTATGATAACATCAAATAATAGCATTCTACTCTTGTCCTTTTAGGTAAGTTTTAATGGTGAAATGCTGACAGAGATGTTAGATGTCCACTTTTATACATATTAAAATATTATTTCCATCAAAATACCATTAAATGCAAGACATTTAAAACAATGTGATAGTGAAGCTTTGAGACCTAATCAGCCAAAGGCTAAAACGACTATTTTGAGTACTTTCTGACTATGGGTAAAGAACTGATTAGTCAGTGAAGCATATATGTGGCTTAGGCTTGATTAAATTTAATTTTGAGTAAATTAAAATTGAGTAAATCGAATTTTACTTAGATTACTTTTCCCTCGTGGCCCTACAAATTATATTAGGACATTCCTGAGCAGAGATCTGAGGGTTGGAGAAATGATATACACCCTGAAGTTTGCCATATAGCATTGGTTAAATTACAACAGTCCTAGAGCATAGACCTAGAATTGCCCAGACCTTGTTCTAATTTCTTCTCTAGTCCTTACTAATTTCACTTAAAATTCATTTCACTTTGAGTCTTTTTTTTTCATTTTTAAAATTTATGAAGACTAAATGAGTTGACCCAGTGGATTTTCAACCTTAATTGTAGGATACAGGACTCTTTCGTGAAGAGATTTTTATATAGACCCTCAAAATTCAAAACAGATTAAAGCAAATCTCTTCTAAATGAAGAGAGAATCAGGGATGGAGGATTGGGGATCCAAGTCTGTTTGTCTTGTCCCTTCCTGTCCTTGACATACCACATGGAAACATAGGATTTGGGAAGTATCATGTGAGAGGACCTGAGGGAACTTGTGTAGCTCAGGATCTGGCGTGTTGTGAGTATTGCATAAGCACCATCAGGACAGCATAATAGTTATTCTGACATCAGGATAATTGTGCCATCATGATGGATGGACTGCCATATATACCATGCTCTTTGGTAGCACATTGTCATTGTGGATTTGCTGCAGGGGTCAGCCTGGATCACATATATCAAGTATTGAGGGCACCAGAGCAGGGGACATCTGGCTAGTGTTTTTCAACTCCCTAGGCAAAGGCCTTACTGAAGAAAACTTAGAGGAGTGAATCAGCCATCAAGCTGTGGTTTACAAAGCTTTTAACCACAATTCTCTGTCTTCAAATAAAATTTTAAGCAAAACCCAAATAAATAAAATAGAAACAAGCAGGTCCACCTCAGTTCCATCCTCCAGCCTCTTTTTCATCTCTAAAAAGCACTAAGGAGTAACCCTATGGAACATTTGTTGGAGCACTGCCTGATGTTTTAATCTAGCCATGGTTACATGAAGTTTAGGTCCATGATTAATTGAAATGGAGCATCTAGTACTGTTTACTCCTTCTGTGAGATTCATCTCATCCTGGAGGTAGGTTTTTGCCACATTCTTAATTCATTACCCAGGAATCCACAATATATGCAGACCAGGATATTTTGAGCCACATAATTTTAAAACTGCTCCTGGCCTAGAGAAAGAGCATTGTCATTTCATTTCCATGACTAAAAAATTGTCTCATGTACACAGATCCACTTCCTGGCAATTATTCTTCACTAGAATAACAGAATATAATCACTCAGATGCTCAAATTCTTCATGTTTACAAATTCAAGGAGGAGAAGTGATTTGATGCAAATCACATCTAATGCACTGCATGTTGGGGGCTAGAATCTGGGTCCCCTGAAGCCCCATCTATGGCTCACTTACTTTTCATGGAGCATAATTTTATTCATATACAGAGAACAGAGTCCAGGAAATGTTGCATAATGAGCAATGAAGTTCTCAGACCTAATCATAACAGGTACTATAGAAGTTTAAATACTATAAAAATGTGTAAGTATAGGTGGAAAAAAGAATCATAGAAATGGATGCTTGTCTAATCAATATCAAGGACCATCTTTGTGTACAGGTAATGGATTCCTAATAGATATTCAGATGTTTATAGTCTAGTATCTAGGAGAGTTCTAGAAGGGTAGGGTCTATTCTCCCATTCTAAACTATTTTGTTAAGATTTTTTTTTAATTTTTAAAAAAGCTATTTGTTGGAATTAGAGAATTAATTTTTTTTTAACATTTTAAAATTTGAGACCATCAGTTCCCAGAAATGCTTAATGTATCCCAAGAGTGTATCTCATTTCTTAATAAACGATGATTGTGCATCAGAGCTGAAATGAGAACTCAGAATGCTTTGGTCTGCTCTGTGGTGTAGGCTGATCCAGAACTGGTGGTCCCGACATAAAATCAAGCGGGGAATACAGGATGCCTCTATACCTCAGTGGGAAAATGACTGGAATCTGCAGCCCATGAACATACATGGCTTGATGGATGAATACTTAGAAATGGGTAAGGAAAGAATATTCTGCAGAACCTTCTTCATATTGGTTTTCTAAGCCACATGGGCTTTGGTTCAAGAGAAGAAAACATATGTCTCCTTTCCAGCCCCAAGCATTCTAAACCACATCTGCATCTTTATCTCAGCAGAGCCAGAGGTGTGGAGCAGTGTCCCTGGAAGGGTCACACTTTTTGTTCTCTGACAGCCAAATGAGGGCTTTTCTCACAGGGGAGCCCCCAGCTTCTGACCAAAATAGTTTGATGAAACAAACCAATTCCTTTGTAAAGAAACATTTGCATCGCCTACAAAGAAAATAGTGATTCTTTTTCACAATAAATCTTTGCTTAGATCCAAGTCTAAGTCTCAGCTTCTTCAAGAATCTTATTTATTTATGTTAAGAAAATAAGGATTCCCATTCCAACTGTTAGAATTACTGGCTACTGACTTGACATTTGCTTTTCTCTGGCCTCCAGTTTTAGCATCTATAAAAAAAGAGTTCAAGATGACTGTAGGTCCCTTGAGTCTGTTCCAGAGCCAAGCATTTTCCTTCAAGTCCTCCTGTTCTCTTTTACGTCTTTTCCCTGTTTTCCCTCCCTACCAGGCTCCTACTCTTTTCATTGTCCTCCCTCCTCCCTCTTCATTCCCTGTTTTCTTCTTTCCCCTTCCTTCATGCTTCATTACATCGAAGTGAAGACCACATAGAATTTAAATCAGTTCAGATCTCTGAATGCAGTTTTAAACATTTTCTTGCCATGTGCCCTTTAGCAAATTTACTTAACACATATGAGCAAAAATTTCCTCAACTGTGAAATGAGATAAGAATATTTACTTTGTAGGAGTATGGAAAAGATTAAAGACAATTTATGTAAAGCTCCTAATTTGACACAAAAGAGGCACTCAATAAATGATGCGCTGTTTATATTATTAATTTTCTAACTTTCTCTTTTGACAGTTTTGCAATTTGGCTTTACCACCATCTTTGTGGCGGCTTTTCCTCTGGCCCCACTTTTGGCTTTGTTAAACAATATCATTGAAATCAGGCTTGATGCATATAAATTCGTCACCCAGTGGAGGAGGCCTCTGCCAGCCCGAGCAACTGACATAGGTAAGTTATTAAATGATTTTTGCTTTGCTAATGCCAAAGGGTGTGCAATTCATATTTAATCACCAATATGTGAGAGTATTGAGGTATGATATGTAAGAGGTGAGTGCTCATGGGAGATTGGAGTGCTTGTCAAAGGGCTCAAGGAAATGGGTTCATTCTCTTCTGCTCTCCTGCCATGGGAGGACACAACATTTGACCCTTCCAGAGAATGAAGCAATAAGGTGCCATCTCAGAAACTGGAAATGGTACAATCATGACACACTGGTGCCTTGATCTTGGATTTTCCATCTCCATATAGTTAAAAATAAATATTAGTTCTTTACAAAATTACCCGCCTCCAGTATTATGCTGTAGCAGCACAAATGGTGTAAGAAAAGATGGCTTGAGATCACTTAAAACAATGTGAACTTCTATTATGAGCTTCTTGTTGGAAGCCCATAACAAGACTTCCAACCATAACAAGACTCAATACTTTTTGGTTAAAAATAATAAAATGCATAATAATTTGGTTGGAAGTGAGTTCATTTTAAACATATTAGTTCATAGATTTATAACTGAAAGACTCTCTCATATATCTTTTCATGTTAATATGCACAAATATGCCCCATTCTACACAATTATTACACAAAACTCCAATATGGCATTTTTTAAAATCAATAGTCTATAGAGATATTTAGATTGCTTCATTATTTTATTATTATAAACAATGCTGAGGTGAACATCTTCACACAAAAATTGTCCAATTATTTCTTTTTTTAAAAAAATTTTTCAGTTGTAGATGGACACACTATCTCTATTTATTTATTTATATGTTGTGCTGAGGATTGAACCCAGTGCCTCATGCGTGCAAGGCAAGCGTTCTATCACTGAGCCACAACCCCAGCCCCATCCTATTATTTCACCAGAATAAATTCCTTGACTGGAACACTTGTTCAGAGAGCATTTATATATAAAATTTTGGTACAAATATTGACAATATGTTTTCCAGAAATTCTGTACCAATCTGTATATGAATATACATTTCCTAAACCACTCTAAGTATAATAAGGATTTTTAAAATTGTTCTCTCCTTGACACTCTAATGAGGGAAAAAAAAACATTTTCTTGTATTTCCTTGGATTTTTATTACTATAAAATTAAAGGTATTTATATTTCTTCTATTCTAATTGCATTATACACTTCAGCCATTATATCTAATTTGGTAATTTTTCTCTCTGTGTTTGTACTATGAATCTTGATATAGACATATGTTTATGTACACATATATCTTAACATATATATAATGTTTGCTACATTTATATATATATATATATATATATGTATATATGTATATACATCTAGCAAACAGTATTAAAATGATGGTTTTTAATTCATTTACTTTTTCATAAATAAAATTTTTAAAATTTTATATAACTTTTGTACACCTATGTGCGTTATAGATATTATCATTTGTGACAGTCCTTTTAGAACTCATGATTTTTCACAAGTTGTTTTCAGTGTTTTGTTATTTAGACATGTCTGTATAATATTCTCTTTTGATTTGTTGTTTGTTGGCATTTGAGATTTTATTTAAATTGATAATCTGCTTAAAATTTATTATTGATGAAATTGAGATTCAGTTTTTCTTTTTTCTGTTGTTCGGTTTTTTCCAAGTCAAGTATTAAATAATCCAGGTTTTGGGGAGGAATTATTTGAATTCTCTTTTTTGCTCAATTATGTGTAATCTTAAGTATTATTTCTAGAATCTGTTTGTCCCATTGATATGCTCCTTGTTTTTCATATTACTTTAATAACCCTTAGTTTTGAAATAGGAAATTCAAGTTTATTTAAAAATAATCACACATTTTTCCTTTTGTTTTGGGGGTAATTTTATTTTTTAAGGTACTGAATGATTCCTTTTTTAGTTAAATTTTCTGACATACATTCCATTCCATAGTTACCAAAGTCTGTTTCAAATATGCTAATCTGTAGAGATTCAATGTCATGCAGTTTAAATTCCCAGGGTATTTTTGCTCATTGTTTTAGAATACTCATTTTTTTAAGCAACTAAAGTTATTACTCTTGCTGTCCTTTAACTTTGGTACATTTGTTAATTTCATTATTAAATCAATAAAAACACATTAATGAAAATGTAAAAAATAAATTTAAAAAGGATTAAAAACCCTTCCCATTCCAGTTTTTTTTAATTTTTGTAGTTGTAGATAGACAAAATACCTTTATTTTATTTGTTTATTTTTATATGGTGCTAACGATCAATCTCAGTGCCTCTTGCATGCTAGGCAAGTGCTCCGCCAATGAGCTACAGCCTCAGGCCCCTATTCCAGTTTTAATTAGCATTTATTGTAACTTTTAATAGATAGGTTGTTTTAACTTTACTGTATGTTACTTTGTTTAAGCTAAAAAACAAAAATATGTAAAAAGAAATAAGTAATAATCCTTCTTCTCCATTAGTTTTCTACCTCAGGTAATCAGAGCATCAGTTCAGCATGCATCCTTTGTTAGTGCTTTACTTGCTCATACAAACATACAGAAATATAATCATATACATAAATAGGATTCTGTATGTGTTTTAATAAACATTCTCCACCTCAAAATATAAGTATAATTCATTTTAATAAAATTATGATATTCATAGTAAAGATATAAGATAAAAATTTACAATCATTTAGAAATTTTATTCTTTCTGTTAATAGTAATAAATATAATATATATAGATATAGATAAATATTTTATATCATGTATCCATATACATTATATACGTATAGTGTATTTATAATATAGATCAAAAAGTAGGCCTACTGGATTAAAAACAAACATATTTTAATTTTAAGATATATCTGACTAGTTAATAACTAATAATAAGTAGTAAATCATTCCAACAACAATGTAAAGTATTTCATTATATTCCTAAATAACATTGGATGGTATTTGATCACCTATATTTTATTTAAAAAATCTTATTCTTTTCTTTAAAGGACATTTTTCAAAATACTAGTGATTAAAATTTTTAAGACATTATTAGTTATTTTCACTCCCCTAACATATTTTTATTTGTACTATTTGTCCATTTTTTCCTTTAATTTTCTCATTAAAATTTTAGGATCTTTTGTATATTCAACACTTTTTCCCAGACTTTCTTTTGACTGAATAACATAACTTTTTTTAAAAAAATAAACATTTTTATGTATTTAGTATTATTTTATGAATTTTGATTTCTTGCCTTATGATCTCCCTAGTTAGCTAAACCTTAAAATCCTTTCTTATTTTAATTTTTTAATTGGAGCTTAATGTTGGTATATTATAAAGAGTTTGAAAAACAAGGGGAGGAGAAATCAAATTTGCCATATTACCCAATCACCTTTAGCATGTCTGAGTAATTTTTTCTAGAACTTTTTTCTTATAAATATTTTTAAAGTCAGGTTTAATCCTAGTTGAAACATCAGTTTTGAATATAATCAGTAGTATACTGATGTGATATGCAACATCAGAAGCTAATTTGTTTGTCTATATGACATCAGATTTGCCTCCTAAGAAGTAGCAAATGTCAACTAGTCTTTATGGGTTTTATCTCTTTTTTTGTGTGTATTTTTACTTTAAATTGAAACTTGAATGAGATGGACATCATTACCCTAAGTACATGTATAAAGACATGAATGGTGTGAATATACTTTGCATACAACCAAAGATATGAAAAATTTTGTTCTATTTGTGTAATATGAACTGTAATGCATTCTGTTGTCATATATAACAAATTAGAATAAAAAGTAAAAGAAAAAATCTATAAAAAGAAAAAAATTGAAATTTGGCAAATATTAAACCAAAATACACATTGAATATAGACATTTCAGAGTGTACACTACCATGTAGAACTTAAAGATGTAGAATTTAAAAGATTTTTATTCATAGTTTTTATTGCCTCAACAAATTCTGTATATTAGGCTTTGAAATATCTTAGGTGCATGTATTATGTCTCACTGTTACAGAACCTGAACCAGGCCCTAATAATATTCTGATTTTCAAATATTTTTAGATGGGGTTCACCTTCCCTTTATAGAAAAAATTATGTACCAGATGTAATATTATACATCATGTATCACCAAACAATATATCACCAAACTTTATAAATCACGATGGAGTGAGATACTATACTGAGTTGTGGACAGAATTGTGGTTCTAACATGAGTAGGACATTCTTTTCAAAATAAGATTGATTATAGGGTTCTCATTTGGTTAATTTTTATTCACTGTCTTTAATCTTTCTCCTACCAGGTATCTGGCTTGGAATTCTTGAAGGAATTGGCATATTGGCTGTGATCACCAATGCATTTGTAATTGCTATTACATCTGACTACATCCCACGTTTTGTCTATGAATACAAATATGGCCCCTGTGCAAATCATGTAGAACAGAATGAAAAGTAAGGTTGAAATTTATACATTTTTTCTGATCTCTTTTATGTTTGTAATTAAAATGAGAACTTTTTGAAATATTTTGTTTGTGACCATTAAGAGTAATGTTTCTTCTGGTCATTGTAGTTATAATATTTTTATTAGATGAAATCAAAAGTGAAGTTAAAAAAAAGCAGCTGTGTTTTTTACAACAAATAATTTTATAGACTATATTTTCAGTTTGAAATGCATGATGTCAAAATGCTAAAACTTTCATGTTGTTTATAGAAGTCAAATTCTAGAACTGGAGGAAATCTAAGAAATCATCTACTGCAATCTTCTCACTACGCAGATGGGGAAATTGAAACCCACACTGGTTTATCAAATTACTAAAGCGGGGAAAAAGGCAATTATTGGGGAGATACAGAGCATGAAGAGACTGGTACCTATGTGCCTAGAGAGTTTTAAAACTGGTTTTCCAAGTGCAGGAAATCTTGCCCTCAACCTCTCTCATACGTACTGTTCTGACCTACTGATGTTTTAAACCAGATAAATCTTCCAAGAGGGAAGTTTGTTTTGTATGCATTGTAGTACATTTACTAGTGTGCTTTGGCCTCTACCCAGTAGACACCAATAGTAAATGCCTTGTTCCCCAAGTAGTGATGATCAAAAACATTGCCAGATGTGCCCCAGGGGACACTTGTTTAAAACCACTACATTAGATGATATGCTATTTCAGATCTTTCCTTATTGAAAGACAGTGTTGGAAGAATGCAAGAGGAAAGTGGATTTGCATAACAACGAAAAACTGGAGGCACTTGAGTATTGTAGCATTGTAGGGGAGACTAACCTTAGATGTGAAAGTAGTGATAGAAGATAGAGTAGCAGTAAGGAAGCTGCTTCTCCTCTCTCCAAGAGAAGCAGCTTGGAACATCGGACTGATGTAGACGCAGTTTATGTGCCACAACAGGATGAGCCTTGATTTAGGATGAAATTAACCCTTGACTCTCCTGATGAACTGAAGTTCTCTCAGAAAACGGAAATACCTTTAAACATAAATGCCAGGGCTGGGATTGCCCTGAGTTTTATCCTAAGCACCACATAAAAATAAAATAAAGATATTTTGTCCAACTGCAACAAAAAATAAATAGTTTTTAAAAACCCATAAATGCCTAATTTTCTAAAAGAGCAATCATAAAAGATAGTTATTGTCTTATATCTTTTTATTGTTTATATCTTGGCATCTTCAAGGAATTTTGTCTTAAGTTAGACACTTTATTAACAGAAAGTTCTGTGGGCCTTATGATTAAGAAAGTGTCTGAGATAAGGTTTGTGAACTATAACACTATGTAAACATAAGCTTGTTTAGGTATTAATAGCAAAAACCTCAAAAGTCTGTTTTCTTAATTCAAATGGTCTAGAAGTAGATTTTAATAATTTGAAACATATAGGCTTCTCTGCCACCTTCTTTCTAATGATTACTTGCTAGTGGCTTTATTGCCACCTAGTGGCAGGTGAAAGTAAGATTGACTGGGTGTCTGTTTTAGAACCTGCCTTTCATGTAGATGGCATCTGTCTCCTCCATATTCAGAGATTGGGGAAGTAGACCAATTTCAAACAGAGTTGTGAAGGGCTTGTGTGTTGCTGACACCACACATTCCAAGTATTTTTCCTAGCATGCTTAGCAGCTAAATTGGAGTAGATTGATTCAGATGAGACATTTTCAGAGCTAGGTGGCAGAAGGCAGGGAAGAGAAGGATATTGGCAAGAGGGTAGCAGAAATGAAAAATCATGGGGCCTAGGATGGAAGCGGAAGGGATTGAAGCCACTGCATCACTGTAATTAATACTTCAAGATTTATAATATGACAGATATATGGTTGAATACAGATTCTAACAACTGTCTTAGGAACATGATTCTCAACATCTGCTCTGCAAATATCTTTAAGGGTCCACAAGTTCAGTACTATTTTTATAATTACATTGACGTTACTTCCCCTTTTCATGTATTTATATTTGCATTGGTGTGATAAAGCAATGGTAGATAAAATTTCTGGTGGCTCTTCTTAACTCAAAAGCATTAGAACCAAACAATATTCCTCATCACCATTTAATCACCTTAAAGATACCAGTACAAAATTCAGAGTGCTTAAGTAAAGCATTAATAATTATTAATTTTCACAAAATAGCCACCTTTGAATAAATGTCCTTCCAATATTATATGTAACAAAATGTGAAATGTGCATAGAGCACTTCTGCTACATACCCAGATGTGATGTATGTCTCAAAGAAATGCACCCATGTGTTGGATTGCCAACTAAGAAAAATCTTTTCCCACATGAAATAATGACTGTCAGTCAACTAGGATTATTCGGACTTGGTACTTAGCAGCTACTCTTCTAGTGCATGCACAAAACTAGTCTGTCATTTTAAGGCAAATATTTGACATTATGTGTTGCATAGCTTCCCAATACTTAAGAGATTTTTTCTCATACAAAGTTAAAAATTGTGTTCTTTTTTCAGAGACTGTAGTAAAAAAGAAAAACACACCAACCTTAGAAGTTCTGAATAATTCAGGGCACAAATATTTTCCAAATGACTGATATTTGACATTACAAAATCATGCATGGATAAAAGATGGTTAATGTATAAGATAGACCTATGTATTTTAATGTAACTGCATGAAATGTTCATTACTGTGGCTTAAGATTTCACATTGCAACTAAGCTTTAAGAAGCTACCCCATGTAGCTTTAGTGTACTATCACTGAAACATATCGAAAATTATCTGAAGTGCTATTAAAATAGTCCTTCTTTTTCCAACTACTTATCTATATGATGCCAGATTTTCTACTAACACTTGAACCAAAACAACATATTGCAACAGATTTAATACAGAAGTGGATACAAGAACCTAGTTATCTTCTGTTAAAACAGACATCAAAGAGATTTGCAAACATATGAAATAATGTCATTGTCACTATATTTTTTCCCTTTGCAAGTTATAGCTATTTTTCTTTAAAATGTACCATTTTTATTAATTTACAATGGATTTGATGGCCACTTTTAAATGAATAGTTAAATATTTTCTAAATTTGTTTTCATTTCTAATGTGATAAAATAGCAGTAGATATACCTCTGTGACAAAGGCTTTTCTGGTGTTCAATACTTTTAAAAATGTAATGAGATTCTGAAACCCAAAATTTAAGGAATTATAGGCCTGGAGAAAGTTACATAGCCTCTCTAAACCTTGTGTATTTAATCTGTATGATGGAGATTATAATATACATATTTTAAAGTTGTAAAATTAATGATGTCCAACAACTCTTTGAATGTACATAGAACTCTAAAATATCAATAGTACTAACACATCTTTGTCTTCCTTTCCTTTATCATCCTCTTTCCCATTCTTACCCATCTTACAAACCAATTGGCCAATTATTGTAACCTCTTCCTTGGATACACTGGTCCCTGCCCTTCCCCCCTGATGTTTTACTGCTTTGGCAGAGTCCCAGCCATCTCCAAACTCTGTCTAGTCTGCACTGTTCTCATACAGCTAGTGTGGATGAAGAAAAACAAAAACACTGACTAGCTTCACTTTATCTTTATTTTATTTTTTTGTGGTGCTGAGGGTCGAACCCAGTGCCTCCTACATGCTAGGTGATCTTTCTACCACTGAGCCCCATCCCCAGCCCCTTCACTTTAAATTTTTATCACTTCTCTTTTGTGGACCCAACACACGTTTTATTTCCCAAGTCCATTTGCTCTTCTTTTTTAGAGAAGTTTTTCATACCTTCTCCTTGTTCCTTAAGGCTTCGGCACCTCCTTATTTATTCTCACTCTTTATTCTTAGGTTTACTTAACTGGGAAAATAGAGCCAAATAGAAAAGAACTTCCACAGATATCCCTGATTGAGTCTGCCTTCCTACACCATGCATCCTACTCCACGCATCCCACACAGTCTGCTTTCTCCCAGTTCCTAGAAGTGGAACTCTCTGCTCCTGTGGAAAGCAAAAGCCATGTAATTGTACCCTAGATCTCTTCCTCATTCCTGGAGAACACCAATCTAGTATTTATTCACTTTTTCTCATACACTACAAACAGAATGTTGTCTTTTTCACATTAACACTGATATATGCTTTTGTTTTTCCAACCAATGTGTAAAGTCCTGCCTTGTTCTGACTGCCTGCCAGTGGATCCTCACGTCTTTGCTTCCATTTTAAACAAACAAACAAACAAAAATTCCAAAAAATTTTCCATATTCATTTCTCCAATCCCCCTCCTCTTCTTCCCCATTATGCTCTTTCTGGTAAGGCTAATACTCTGTAGAAAGGCCATGAATTTCACATTTTGAAATCCACTTGTCATTTCCCAGTTCTCACAGTGGTTGACGTATTAGCTTTGACAATCGATCATTCAGTTGCTGTGTCCTATTCATTTGACTCTCAGAATGCCACAGACTTCCTTCCTTCACTTCATCTTAGCCACACTGATCTCTACAGTCCTTAATACGTGCTTGGTTCCCTGTGTCCTCTGCTTGCAGCCCACCATTCACAGCTCCCCATGGCTGCCTCCCTCAACTCCTCAAAGTTACTCATTTCTTTTCTCTTAACAATGTCTACTCTGGAAATGCAGTTGAGCATTCTAAGCCTCTAATCCTAATTCCCCTTAGTTTACTCCATTGTACCGTAAGGCGGTGTGGTTCACATAACTTTCTTCAAGGGTATCTAATTTCTCCAGCATCACTTTTTTTTTCTTTTTCTGGAGATGGGGATTGAATTCAGGGGCACTAGGCCACTAAGCCACTTTAGCCCTATTTTGTATTTTATTTAGAGACAGGGTCTCACTGAGCTGCTAAGCATCTCGCCATTTCAGAACTTGGAACTTGCGGTTCTCCTGCCTCAGCCTCCTGAGTGACTGGGATTACAGTAAGATATTAAGTGTGGTGACTTTTTTCTTCTTCAGCATTGAATTTGGCCATTTGTGCTTCTTCTATTGAGAAATGCCTACATAGTTCTTTTGCCCATTTATTGATTGGGTTATTTGTTTTTTTAGGCATTGAGATTTTTGTGTTGTTTATATATTCTGGATACCAATCTGGCAGAGGAACAGGTGGCAAAGATTCTCTTCCATTCCGTAGGCTCTCACTTCACGCTCTTAATTATTTCCTTTGATGTGCAGAAGCTTTTTAATTTGGTGTCATCCCATGTATGGATTCTTGGTTTTATATCTTGGTCTTGTTGAGGAAGTCAGTGCTTACACCTCTATAATGGAGTGTTGACCCTATTTTTTCTTCTAGTGGTTGCAAATTCTTTGGTCTAATTCCTAAGTCTTTGATCTACTTTGAGTTTTTTTGTAGGATGGGAGGTAGGGAAATAGTTTTGTTCTTCTACATATGGATATCCAGTTTTCCTGGCCCAATTTTGTTATATTAAAAAGGTCTCCAACACATATTTTTGGCACCTCATCCAAAAAAATGCTGTTTTTGTTGCTATAGCTCTGTAGTATAATTTTATATCAGTTGTAGTGATGCCTTTGCCTCACTGTTCTTTCTCAGAATTGCTTTGGGTATTCTGGGTCTTTTACTCTTCCAAATGAATTTAGTACTATAAAACACAGATTTATAGAGATTTAAAACCAAGGGTGTAACTAGTGTCTAATAAACTATGTAATAAATAAATACAAACCAGATAAAAGTGCAAGAAGAGAAGTACTGGGAAGAATCGACAGGAGTTTGTTTCTTTAAGATATAATTAGAGATACAATGAGAGAGGATATAATAACAGCTGAGTTGCTAGGTATATGTAAAGTTAGAAATGATGCATTTGTAAAATCCTATCATTTTAATGAAGAAATTATACTGGAAATTTATGAAACTCTCAGTCAAATAATAATTTTCTTTTTTCCTAGTTGCTTAAAAGGATATGTCAACAATAGCCTATCCTTCTTTAACTTGAGTGAGCTTGGTATAGGAAAATCTGGTTACTGCAGGTACTTATTTATAACTTATTGTTAACTTTTCTGCTTCCCTTCACCATTCTGTCTCCTGTCCCTGAATGTCAATGAGTCCATTTAAACTATCATTTTGGAGTTTGGGGCAAATTAGGGAAATTTGAGACCTTCACACTTTGACCCTTTGATCTCTATTTTCATATTCTTTTGTTGGTGGTGGGTTTTGTTTATTTATTGACAGTACTGGGAATTGAACCTAGAAGTATTCTACCTCTGAGCTACATTTTCAGTCCTTTGTAAATTTTAGTTTGAACAGGGTCTCACTAAATTGCCCCAACTGGCCTCAAACTTGTGATCATTCTGTCTTTGCTTCCCTAGTAACTGGGATTACAGGTGTGCACCACAGAGCCTGGAACCTATTTTTCAAATTCTTTCTTTTTGTGTTTCAGGTACCGAGACTACCGAGGCCCACCTTGGAGCTCCAAACCCTATGAATTCACTTTACAATACTGGCACATCCTTGCTGCTCGATTGGCCTTCATTATCGTGTTTGAGGTTAGTCACAAACTGAGAAGAAAATTACTGTGGGTAAACACTTCTGCAACTGACATATCAGTTGCCTCTTTGAAGTCAATTTCTCACTTGTAAACAAACAAAGGACTTACATAGGTTCTGGCAAAAGGCTCTGATTCAGATTAAATAAAACTATTATAACAAGTGCCAAAAAGCAGGAGCTGAAGAATGTAACAAGGTAAGTTAGTAGGTACTTACACTAGACAATCAAGGTGGAAGAAACTAATGAAGAGTTAATGCAAAACTCTTGAACTTCCTAGTGCCTAGTTTAAAAAGGAAAGGAAGGTTTTCATAATCTGATAAGAGAATTCATACCTATTCCCCAGGTTAGAAAAACTGAACAATCAACTCTTAAGTACAGTTGTTCACATATGCATTTGTTTAGGGGACATTGGATGATTCAATAAAGTTTGCCTGAGAATGCTTTTATTACAAGATGGGTTGTGTTTAATGACCAAAATCACGTGACAATATTAAATTATAATTCTATGAAGAAATTTTGAGGAAGCTACAGTATTGTTGCCTTGTTTAAACAAGACAATAGAGTGGAGAATTAATACTGTAATATATTAACTATCTTTGAGGCACCGCTAAATCAATGAAAAATGCTAAAGATATGTATTTCCTATGGCCAAAATTGTGAAGCCAAAGATAGAGGCATACCTAAGACTTTTGGGAAACGTATTTTTTTGTAGTTGTAGATGAACAGCATGTCTTTATTTTATTTGTTTATTTTTATGTGGTTCTAAGGATCGAACTCAGTGCCTCATATGTGCAAGGCAAGAGCTCTGCCACTGAGCTACAGCCCCTGCCCAGAAAAAGTATTTTTAAAAGCAACTGTACCTCTCAACTGATTTTCAAAAAGCATTTCATATTTTGTATTGAAATATTTTTCATCTGGAAAATGAAATACTTACTTGTAAAAGTTTCATCCAAGACTGAAATTCTATTTCTTAATGACTTGTTGACCCTATAAAAATGTTTCCTTATGAAGTGAGAATTTCATAATACAAGTTGCATAATTGTTTAATGCGTATTTCTAATCAAGTGATTCATTGAAGGTTTTTTATTGTATATGGTTTTTATAGATAAACATTTTTCCCATTCTCTTTTATAACTCTAGTGAACAAACACATACAACATATCATGATGCATACATGTGATTCTCTCTTTATTTTTTTCTTCATTTCTTATTACTAATTCCATCACCCACCTCCCAATAGCACCCACTCTTCTTCTTCAGTGTAAGCTCTTTCACTTGTTTATTTGCATAAATAATTACTTATAAAATATATGTAGCATTATTTTGAGAGTTCTTTCTCAAAATTATTTCAGTGGTATAATGCAATAAAACTCATTTTTTCTCTTACATATTTTATTATTTATATCTAGAAATAAATCTATTCATGAAACCTACCCATGTTTAGATCACTTCTTCTAAATATGAGAAATGTGTTATTTAAATATAATGAAATATCATTGTGGGTACTTAGGTCTACAACCATTCTCTCTACCTCAAATAAATATCTTATTAATAATTGTGGATTTTGTTATCATTTAATACATTAATGGGTTTCCCAAGAACACATAACCAGATTTTAACACATAACAACCAAAAAATTGTTTGTTTGTCTGTATCCTCAGTTTCATGTAATGTAATACTAAGAGATTGCTCTCCAAATGAACTGTATCTATTTATTCTCAGTGGGCGAGGTTTTCCTTTCCCTTACGTTTTCACCTGACTTTAATATTATCCTGCTTTTCAATATTTTGTAGTTGTGTGAAAGATAACATTTTGACTTTTTTCTTCTGTTATTGCTGTTTTAATTGTCACCAATGATACTGACGTTTGATTTTAGTACTGGAAAACCATTTTGGTTTTCTTTATTTGTAAATCAATATACTCTTAGTCCAGTTTGGTTGAGCTTTCTGTTCATGAGCAAATTTTAAGATTTCCTTTTATATACTACATATTATTGCTTTGCAATCCATAAACATAGCAAGTATGTATTCCTTTCCATAACCTATTAATTTTATTTAGAAACAAATAACATTTTTTATGTAGTTAACCTCATGATTGCTTTTCTTTTTGTTTCATTTTATATGGATTATTTAGGAAAATTTCATGATCTAATGTTCAAAAACAATATTCTGCTACACTTTCACTATTAACTTTATAGTTATATTTTTCACATATCTCTAGGATATTTGACCTTAAGATACAGTCTGAGGGAAAAGATGATTTTCTTTTTCTTACTATGAAAAGATAATCTGTAATGGTTTTTACAAAATAATCTATAATATATCCGGACTTGTGTAATTTCATTCTGCAATATTCCAAGTTTTTGTATGTATATAAGTGTATCCCTGGCCTCAGAAATCTGGTATCTTACCCCGTTTTTCTGTTCTAATTCTATATCACACTAAATGCTATGATTTTATAATATATCTTAGTATCTGATAAAAACAAGCTGTATTCCATGCTTATTTTTATATTTTTATTCTCTTAATTTTTTTTCTTTTTTTTTGAGGGGAAGTTGTAGAGTTAGATATACTTATATTATTTTTTTAGTTGACATAAAATTTATGCATGTATATGAGGTATACCATGTCATGCACAGACAAGGTTAAACATATCTATTAAAATATTTACCTTTATGTTGAAATCATTTCTTCTAGCTTTTGTGAAATATGCAGTACATTATTGTATTAGTTGGCTTTGCATCACTGTGACCAAAATACCTGACAAGAACAATCTAGAGGAGGAAAAGTGTGTTTGGGCTCATGGTTTCAGAGATCTTAGTCCATGGTCAGTCAACTTCATTGCTCTGGACCTAAGGTGGGATAGAACATCTTGGTGGAAGGGTATAGTAAAGGAAAGCTGTTCAGCTCATGGAAGCCAAGAAACACAGACAAAGAGAGAGGATCCAGGGACAAGATATAATCCCCAAGGGAAAATCTCCAATGACCTACTTCCTCCAACCATGCACCACCTGCTTATAGTTACCACCCAGAAATTCATTCAAATTCTTACTCTACCAAATGTATTAATTCACTGATGAGCTGACAGATCTCATAATTTAATTATTTCACCTCTGAACATTCTTGCATTGCCTAACATGAGCTTTTGATGGGACATCTAATATTCAAACCATAGCATTCTATCCTGGCCTCCAAATGTTCATATTCATCTCACAAGGCAAAACACTATAGTCTGTCCCCAGTAGTCCTAATTCTCTTAACAGTTTTGGCAATGCTCAAAAGTCCAACTCAAAAGTTTCCTGAGATTCAAAGAAAAATCTTGGCTCAGAGGCCCTGCAAAAATCAAAAGCAAGTTACATATATCCAATATACACTGGGACAGAGCAAAGATTTCCATTCCCCTGCAAAGAAGAAGAAGAAGTAGTAGTAGTAGTAGTAGTAGTAGTAGTAGTACTAGTACTAGTAGTAGTACTAGTACTAGTAGTAGTACTAGTACTAGTACTGGAATAGAAAGAAGGATGGGACCAAAACCATACTGAAAGTCAGCTATTTCCAACACCTGGGTCTCATGGTAAAACAGAGACTTCACAGGACTTGTGCAGTTTAGTTCCCACAGCTTTGCTGGATGCTGTCTGTGTGGTCTCTCTGTTACACTGGCTCTGTCTACAGACAGGAGCTTTCCTCAGGTAAATGTTTTATATCATTGGCATCTCTTAATCCCTGGCATCTCCATTCCAGCATACCTTCCTTCTTGAAGCTTCATACATAGCCCAGTCAGGGACTGCTCACAGGGATCTCAAACCATGTATGTTTTTCCTGGCCTACCAGGCCTTCCTCTGAAATATTATTGGAAGCATCCATAACCCATAACTCTTCCAGGATCCTGTTTATATCTATAGAACCAGCACTATGTAGATGATGCCTGGGTCTGCAACTAGCTCAAATAGGCCCTGACCCTCTTAGAACATGGATGCAGTGGTTGCTGAGGGGCTTTGTGAGCAGGATCCCCCATGATCTCTTAAATGAGTTTTTATTTTTATACCCTGAACTTACCATGGGTGTGAACTTATTGATTCCTGAGTTGCTCTCAAGGCATCTTTTCTGTTGTCTCTGTGCAAAGCACTTGGTTTCTCTGTAACAGAGGTAATTTCTTCAGCAACCACAATTTCCTTGTTCTCTTTTTTACATGTACTTCTTCTCTAGCCAAACTACAAGTTTTTCAAACCTTTCCTCTCTTCGTTTTGCTCCTGAACCTCATAGTAAAACTTGTTAAAAGTGGTCAGCAATACCTATGCCATGGCCTGAATGCTTTGCTGCCTTGCAATTTGCACCACCAGATTAATTAGAGCATCATCTTTAAATTCAGTCTCTCAAAAAGTCTCAGGACATGGTCAAAATGTTGACAAGTTCTTTGCCGAAATGTAATATGAACAGCCCCTATTTCAATGCCCAAGAGTCCTTGTTCTGCTCTGAAACCTCAAGAGCCACAGTCTTTACCCTCTCCATTCCTATTGGTTTCGGGTCTTCTGAAATTCATCCCCACCATCACCACCAGAAGTGTCCATTATGATCTGCTTACAACATTCAAAGGCTTCTCCAGCCTGTACCTCCAAACTTTTCCAAACTCTTCTTTCAAATCAGTTCCGTAGGCTTCTGAACACGTGGTCAGGCATGTCACAACAGTGATCTTACTCCTTGTGTCAGTTTCTGTACAATAGCACACCAGAACTATAACTATCTGATTATGACTTTACACCTATTGATCAACTTGTCCCCATCCCACCCTCCCCTCTGTTAACCACTAGTCTAGTCTCAACTTCTATGAAAACTTTTTTTTAGATTTCATGTTTATTGATCTTATTTTTCAAAATTCCCATTGCTACTTGGAGTTTTTAATCATTCATATAAAATTTAGAATTTGTTTTTCAGGTTTCTTCAAATATTGTGAAAGACTTTGGTTAGAATTACACTTCTAAGTAGTTTTTGACTTACAAAAACCTGTGCTGTTTCATTGATAAACAGAATTTGTTCTATTTTATCTTTTAATTGAGATCTAAAACAGCTGTTGCTTCTTCCTTTTTAAGTTTATTACTATAAACTTTGTAGATATTTCATTGCTATAAGTTATAGCCTTCATCATATGATTTGCTTGATTTTTGATGGTGTACTGGAATGTTAATTATTTTTCTAAGAGGAACACAGTTCCTTGTGTAGGTATCTCACATCTGTTGGGTTGTCATTACAAATGTCATATTATTTTCAAATAATGAAGTATTGCCTTTTCATTTGCAAAGTTTATACCTCATCTTTGCTTGTCTTACCGTACTTGAAATGAATGTATGTTACTTAACAGCAGTAACAATCAACCATGTCTTATTCTCAACTAAAATAAATGCTCCTATTTTTAACTATGATTTCTGTAGGTTTGTTTAAGATAAACTCTTTATTAGTTGGAGAATTTTTTTCTAGTAATAATTATCTAAGAATGTCTTGATAAGTGGGTATTAAACTTTAGGAAATGTTTTTTAGAAATGCAGTTTAATGTTGAACCATCCTTGCATATCAATCTATATGAATCAGTTTATAGGACATTTAGTATCATCAAACAGGGCATAGAGAATATCCTTCTTTACTAATTTAAATCATGATGATTTACAAAAAATTATTTCCATATTCCTGAGGCTCAAACATAAATATTTTGAAGATAGTACATATATAAATCATCAGGAAAGAAATTTCTGAGCATCTGATTGAAAATATGACCTCCTTTACTGTGCTCTACTTTGCAATGCAGTTTCTGAGGACACTAGCCCAGATAGAAGTGCCTTGGAGACTATTGTCTACTAAAAGTTCTTTATGTAAATGTGTTCTTTTTCACAGATCAAGTGTCAGATTATTTTTCCTTTTTGAGAAATTGAAAGATCTACTCTTCTTTATAGAAATCCAAATAGGATACATTTATAATAGGAGGAGGTAATATTCAAGCAGTGCTTATACTATGCTGAGTACTCCTTTAAGCTTCTTATACACACACACACACACACACACACACACACACATTTAATCCTCATACCCATATCCCTTTAAGAAGCACTATTTGTATCACCCTTTCAGGGATAAGACATGGAATGTGGGTGATGTTTTTGAAGGTTACATAGCTAAACAGTGTTGTAAGATTCAGACTTAAGCAGAATGATTCAACATCTGTACATTTACTAACAACCATTCTACCCTTTGAGTTTTATTCTCACTTTATTTAAACACAATATTTTTGTCAGTTTATTTTAAAAACAGAAGTATTATGTATTGTATCATAGAAGAATAATATGATGAGTAAAACATGTTACAGCAGTTATTACAGTGATATATAAATCTATTACAGTACAAATTCCAGAAATGCATGTGTTGGAGTTTGACTCTAATCTTATTATCATAGGAAGCATTTATTCTTGATTGTTTAGACTCTGTGTATTATGATATATTGGACATGAACTTTCCTAGGATATGCTTTTTCTCTTTTGTATATAATATTTCATCTTAATAAAAGTATTTAATAATGTGTAAGTATTTTATACACATGAATTTGATTCATTGTATGTTTACAAAGTGATATTAAACATGAAATCAAGAAGAGGAAAAGATGGGTTTCCTCCTGATACTAATGTGATAGCAGGTAACAGTATAGCATTCCTAATACAATTTTTTAGAATATTAATATTCAAGATACTGTCTACTACATTCCGATACATGATTTTAAGACAAATGCAGAATTGTTTGTGATTTTCTGTCCTGTTTAAAAATTGTACTTCAAAATGTTTGAAAATTGTACTTTCTACTCTAATTTGTAGCACCTCGTTTTTGGAATTAAGTCATTCATCGCATACCTGATTCCAGATGTACCAAAGGGCCTACATGAAAGAATACGACGGGAGAAGTACTTAGTCCAGGAAATGATGTATGAGGCTGAACTAGAACATTTACAACAACAACGGAGACAGAGTGGTCAGCCTGTTCACCATGAGTGGCCTTAGTTGATACCATTAGTGCAAGAGGGGAGGTACCATTAGTTGCAAAAGAATGATGTTAATTGTAAATCTAGGTGACATCTCAGAGAAAGGTATATTTGACAAAATGTAGGCATCATATGCTACTTGGAAATGTATCACAGCAATCTCTGGGATTTGGAATGTAGAAGTTTCTAGGGAAGGAGATAATAACTTGTGACCTTAAAAAGAGGTTAGGCTGATGATTTAGGAAGCCAAAATTTAATTATCAGAACCAGTCTCAGGGAGTTGTGTGGTTGGAGACCTTCCCTTTCCATTGGCTGCAGTGCAGTAGGAAGGGTGGTAGTGACATTCTAAAGACATATGTTTGTGTAAATATTCAAAAGCCAGGCATGACTTAAAAGTATTATGTGGTCTTCACTCACACGATAATCTGAGTTTGGAACCTTCAGTTGAATTAAGATACTTACAAGAAATAACTTAAATCAATTATTGCCTTTGCTGCCAGAAATCCATGTTCCTCTGGCTTACATGTTAGTAGGAATTTCCCTGACTCTTGATGAATTTGTGGATCTGTTTGAGAAGGAATTTATGCTGCTTTGCATTGACTATGAAGTTGAAGAGTTGCACATCACTTTTGGTAGTCAAACCAAAAATCTAAGTTTCCAAAAATAATGTCATTCTTTGAAATAATAGTCTATTGCATTGGCTACATTCAAGTCTGTTTTATTACTGGCAGAGCCAGTTGCACTGCACATTTTTTATACTAAATGCCAATAACCACATAGTTAGAAAAAACAAATGGTTATTCTTATATCATTTAAAACACAACTGATCCCTACTTTACTGTGGAAGGCTGGTTTATAGTATATTTAATGTTTCCCTCTCCGAATTATTGCAAATCATAGAGAATACTATCTTGACATGCTGTAAATATGTTGATTTTCCTTGTACCTTTGCACCTTGAAAGTATGTAATGCAAGTTTCAATTTATGCTGCAGCTCTGAGACCAGTTACACAATTTGCTATTGTAATGTTTATTCAGGAATTCTGAAGCCAGATGCTCTACAACACTTGTGATTTTTTTACAATGTGCACTCATGAGCTAATGAAAATAATGCATGTGTATAATTCTATATTGTTTGTAAAAATACTTTTTGAGTTCTTTTTCATCAGTGAAGGGTGATTTTTGTTATTTCTTTGATAGATTGGTTTGGTTTATTTTTGAAAACTCTGTAGAAACAAAGTCAAATTTATTGTGAATGAGATAATTGTTGCTTTGTTGTGGAATTCTTATTTTCAGTGACAATACTATCTGTCCACAGTCTGATAGAGCAAAAATGATGAGGCATTCAACTAAAGAAAATCCAGAGTAGGCATTAACTATGAGGGTAGGATAGGAAGAAAGACAAGGGCTAAGGTCAGGCAATGTATGATAAGAGTCAAGGTACTTTTCCTTGCGAAATAGGAAATCCAAATTTTCTTCTCCAGAGAATGAGTCCTTGAAACACACACACACACACACACACACACACACACACACAAACACACACACAGAAAATTACTATTGTTTATCCAATTAATTCTTGTCCAATTAAGCAGTACATTTATTACCAAGATGTAAAAGACCAGTTTAGACACAGTAGAAAAAAAGAGCACTTTGTGATATGTTGGTATTCCTCTAGTAAAGAAATTATAAAGGCTCACTTCTAGAAAAACATTTTCCTAATTCTTAACACTGAGAAAAAAAAATTCTGCATTTATTTCTTTCCCTCTGGGGAAAAAGTTATTAAATTATAGTTGTTTCATGGTTCTTGTCCAGAACATTTTATTTCCCTACTTGCCCTCTAATTTTGAACCAGGCGAAAGCCTCACAAATACTGGCCACGCAGTACTCTTTCATTCAAATTATAACTAAATTCTCTAGCTACACAATGGAGTCTTAAACTCCATTTTTGTAGCACCAGTGTTTCCTTTTCATTGCTATTTATATGCACATGACTGATTATAAATATTCTCTGTTTACCTGACATTGACATCTTTTCCAAATTAAAAACACAAGACAATACTTTAATAAAATTGTAACACTTTAATTTAGAAAAGTTTTCCCCTGATAATCTTGAAACAGATGTGCAAAATAGAGGTAAAAATTATCTGAAATCTTTTATCATGAATTTGTACAGTAGACTCTAGCTATGCCTTCGTCGTCATTGACAGTACAATACTAACAGCCCCTCACAGTATATTAGTTTTAGGTTATTCTGTTTAGATTGAAAGAAATATTTTATATCTTCATTTTCATATGAATACAAATTATTTCTCAAAGATTTATAGCGCACACTATTCTCAGGAATACTGTATTACATGAATGCTGCTTATATATTTTCATATTCTAACTTCTTGTCTTTTTAAGCTAAAAAATAATGACTCTGTGCATGCAGTCTGCCTTGATGAGTTGTTCAGAGCTGAAGAGATTCTCAAAGGAAAATCACTCTAGATTATAGCTGAAATAGTTCACAAATGTCTGAGTTTGTGCACGTACTTTTAAGTAAAATGCTGAGTGACTGCATGATGAGATGCACCTTTTAAATGCTGCACATACTTCTAAATTGACTCTTAGCACAATCTATTGTACAATTGAATGAATGCAGAAATTTTGACTCAATAAATTATCATTTAATATGGTATTTTTTCTATAATTCATGTGTTAAATTTAATTCTGCTGAGTTTTTAAATGTTAAATTGGGATTTGTTGTATGGGGAGGGAGAATTGCTCATTCATTAGTTATACAAAACAACAGTTGCTTATTCGTATCCCATTCTTAAAAAGTTCTCACTACCTTCTGATAAGATTATTGTCATCTTCAAGACATTTGCACATTAAAATGCAGATGGAATATCACATTGATGCAAATAATGTTTTGTGTTCAACACAGATGGGAAAGTCAGCTTGAGTAGGTCTTGTGAGGTAATAACAACTATGTTTTACTTAGCTTTTCCTCACTATGACCAAAATACCTCATTAAGAGCATCTTAAAGGAAGAAACATTTATTTTTCTTCATGATTTCAGAGGTTCAGTCCATGACTGACCAATCCCATAGCTCTGGACCAAACATGAGGCACAACATTGTGGCAGAAGAAAATGATAGAGGCAAATAGGTCAGAAGATTGCTACCAGGAAGAAGAGAGAGCTAACTCCACTCACTGGGAATAAACTATAAGCTCCTAATACATGGATGCAGTAACCCACCTGCTCCAGCAACACCCCATCTGCCTACAGTTACCATCCAGTTAATCCGTGTTAGTGGATAAAGCCATTGATTAGGTTATGACTCGCATAACCTAATCATTTCACCTCTGAACTTTCTCACACGAGCTTTTGGGGAACACAGCATATCCAAATCATAAGACTCCTCCCCTGGAAACTCATGCCCATCTCATATTGAAAAATATACTTAGTCCATTTTTGAAAGTCTCCATAGTTTTAACAGTTCCAGCAATATGGAAAACTCCAAGTTCAAAATCTCCTCAGAGACTCAAGGCAAACTCTCAAACTCTGTAAAAATCAAGTGCTATTTTTTCAATATTTAAAAATTTCCACCCTACAAAGGAGAGATAGTGGCACAGGAAGAAGAGATGAGACTGAAATCTAGCTGAGTAAACAAGTCCTACAGTTCCATGTCCAGTATTTGGGTCACATGGCATCAAGATGATCTCAGCTTTGACTCTACATAGCTGATTCCTATGGCTTTCTTCAGCAGATGTTATATGGTCCATCTTTTAATGTGACTTAGCTCCCTTCTCATATCTTCATGCATCAGACTTTCAAGAGCAGCCCACAGGGACTCCTACCCTATTACACTTTCCCTGGCCCCCTCAGGCTTTCCTTTGAAATCTCAGTGGTAGCCTCCATGACCCCCTAACTCTAACATCCTGCATTCTTGTAGCACCAAAACCATATAGTTCTTTCATACCATCACAAGCAGTAGCCAATCACCTGGGACCATGGCTTCAGCAACTACTGAGTGTCTGGTGATGGAGCATTGTGAAACAGCTTCCTAAGCCCCCCTGTCTATCAGGGTACCCCTCTGGTCTCATCTTGATCCTGAGATGGGTGTGGTCATGCCAATTCCTGAGATGCTGTCAATCTGTACTCCTATTGTCTCTTGGTAAAGTACTTTGCATCTCTTCAATGGCTATAACATCTTTAGCAACCATATCTTTCTTGGCCCCATATTTACTCCCACTTTTCTGGACAAAATGAGTGTTTTCAAATCTTTACACTCTGCTTTCTACTTCTGATTATCACAATGAACTTGGATCCAAGCTACTAGCAATATCTATGCCACTGCTGGAATACTATGCTATCTTGAAATTTCTTCTGCCAATTTAATTAGCAACCACATTTAAATTCATCCTCAAAGACAATTTTAGAACAAGGGCAAAATTTAGAAATTTCTTTGCAAGATTTTAACACAAATATCCCCTAGTCCAATTTCCAATATTGTTCTCCTCTGCTTTGAAACCTCATGAGCCCAGTCTTTAATGTCCACGGTCCTGTTAACATTCTGGTCTTCTAAGTTCCCACCAGAATTTCCTATTAAAGTCTGCTTACAATATTCCAAAGCTTTTCTGTTCTGAATCTCTAAACTTTTCAAAATTCTTCCTACAAAATTAAAAAAGTTCCAAAAATTACTGAATCACATGGTTAGGTTAATCATAGCAATAACCCCACTTCTCAGTACCAATTTCTGTTTTACTTCATTTTCCTTGCTGTGAGCAAAATACCTGAAAGAACAGCTCAAAGGAGGAAGTTTATTTGGAGGTAACAACTTCAGAGATTCAGTCCATAGATAGCTGGCTCTATAACTCTGCACCCAAGGTAAAGTAGAGCACCATGGCAGAGGTTGTAGCTAAGGAAAGCAGTTCAGAATGTGCAACCAGGAGGTAGAGAGAGCTAGCTCCATTCACAAGAACAAAATATAAACCACAAAGGCACACCTCCAGTGACTCCCTTCTAGTACACACAGTTACCATTCAGTTAATCTGTTAATCCCGGTGTATTAACCCACCAGCTAGGTAACACCTTTAATAATATTATCATTTCACCTCTGAATGTTCTTGCATTGTCTCACACAAGAATTTTTGGGGGGATGCTTCATATCAACACTATAACACTCTCATCAGACATAAGTACTTATTTATTTTTTTTGTCATGCATGTGTTGGCTCTATCAACCGCCATCAAAACTCCTTG